TTAGCGGACCACTTCACCTCATGCTGTGTGATTGATGGTCCTGGTGTCCATTAGCAGCGATGAGAGGTGGAATCTCACTGAGATCAAATAAGCGAAGGTCTGTAAGTGCGTTTTTTTTTTTTTTTTACTTTGACAAGCACCAGATTGCTTCTATTAATTATCATGATGACAGCAATCTGCCTCTGTAAACTGATTACTCCGACTAAAACAAAAGCATCATTAAGCAGGTGAATTTTTCATGATGCTCAATTCTTTCCATGCACGTGCTCCTGTGGTGTGCACGCAGCCTTGTGTTTATCTCTGTGAGGACGTGCTCATCATAAAGACAAGAAACAAAACACAATAGGACGCAGGTCATTGTATTATAACAAATACAGTTATTATCAGTCAAGGAAGTTGTGCTTTCATTGCTGTTTATCTGAACATTTGCAGGATTATGGGAAAACTGCTGCACCGATTTTAGTGGGGGGTGGAGCTAGGAGGTTTTTATCACTTTCTACAATATTGTGTTTTTCTGAAATGTTTGTGGATTTCTCAAGAAATAAGAAAAAGAGATCTCGATGAAAAGGTTCAGACATATTTACGGCTGTTATGAGTGTGTGCAATATTGTTCAGCTTGATTTATCTAAGGGGACTGTTGTGCCTTGGCAGAAGTTAACGACATGCAATTACTTTGCATATATTCAAATATGAGCGCCCTCTGCTGGATCCCGAGGGTGTAAGACTGTATATTTTGAATTCGAAAAGGTCAAATAATTCAGTAAAGTTGTCTCCGCACATTTAAATGAAAAAAAAAAAGATTAATGAATCTCCAATCTGACAACAGATAACGGTACTAAACTGTAGTCATAGATCTTTATTGCAGATTCTTGATAACGACTTAAACGTTATTGCTTTGACATTTTACTCAAGTTCACTGGCTCACTCTAAATCTTTTGTCTTGAAGGCCTATAAAATGAAACTCATGTGAGATCAAGCCTCCAACAATGTGCAGCATTTCTAGATTTGTCTTCAGTTTGTTCACATCTAAAAATGTTGAAGTGCCTAAAATGTGTTGCTAGAGGAAAATTCAGGTTCTAGGGCCGTGGACAGGATAAATAATCTTGTTCGTGCGTCAATCTCTATATTTTTTGTGGGTGTAGGAGAAAAAGAGAGTGCTGTTACAGCCTCTAAAAGAACAGGGAGGACAAAGGTAGACTTCAGACACAATGGGCTACATCATGCTGTTCAATGCTCCTTTATAAGACATTTTTAAAAGTGCAATGTTGTTTTTCTTTTCCCTCAAACTCCTTTATATCCCATCACATCCTGTCTGTGTCCTGGGTTTCACACAACTGCCGATGCTTGAGGCAGCAGAGCAGACAATAAGTTTTGAAAAACTGCGAAACTATTCAGATGCAGAAAAAACAGGACCAGGTCTATAAATACACAATAAGATATTAGAGACGTGAACAAAACAAAAATTGTATTTTTACTTTTCCTTTGAAATCAAATGAGGTTCTGACATTTCTAATCATTTTTGATTCATGCAATTTCATTAATGCCCTTTTACATGTTTTTACCACTTGTTAAGTGTCCATATGACATGTTGTGTTGTGTCGCCATTTCCAGGTTTCACTTTCACCGTGGTTTGTCATCTCTCAAACGCATAGTGAGAAAAAAAAGGCACAGAAAGACCCAACAGACTTCCGACAGCCAGTAGGAGAGAATCTGATCTTTACTCTACCCCCTTAACACTGCAAGCTGAAATCCAGTGGTCCGTCTCAGAGACAGGGCCAAAGTTTACTGGATTCTCGGCCTAAGTTAACAGTTAGTATTTGAAATGAACAAATTTAACTCTCGTCTCTCTGTGTTCTCTTATGTGGTAAAATTCTTGTTTCCCGGCATATTATTTATGATATGTAAATTCAAAAGGACCAAAAAAAAAAACGACTTGAAATTCTTCAACTGCAAAATGTACAACAAAGATTCACATCAAGTGCAAACACGGATTCTTTTTATCTGCACTCAAAGTAAACTTCAGTGATTACGTCACATCATAATACATGATGCCCTTGACGACTCACCAACAAATGGTGCTTACCTAGAGAACGAGTCTGTAATAACCAAGGTTGTTTCATCATACAGGAGAAGACACAATAGACACATCTACCACTGTGGTGAGCGCACAGCATTCAACATTTCAGCTAAGAAACAACATGAAGAACATTTTGCTCTCTTACCAAATGTTGTTCCACTGTTTACCTTGTTAGATGCCATCTGAGCCAGTGGCAGAGAGCAGAAAAAATAACCTCATATTCTGATTAAGTTCCTCAGAACAACACTGACAAATTCATTTTGACGGGGCTGGAGAGGAATGAGGCAAAACAACACTGTTTAATTATGTGTTGTGTGAAGTTATTCTTGGCCCATTATTCTGTTTGACAATTCCTCATCAACTTGTACGAATTCCAAATAAACTTTTTATTCACTGCTTGAATAAGTGGAAGCAGGAATTAGCTGCGAGATATTTTTACCACAATGGAAATGAAGAAATGGACCAGTTAAAAAATTACACACGTATATGCTTTATTTGTAATGACATCAAAAGACAGACATACGATTCGATTCCCTGCTAAACAACTGCAGATGAAAACCTTGGCGGAGGTAATAACATTTTGAGGAGACTCACAATAACAAGCCACACTAACTACTTTGGATTTATTCTGTGTCAGAATAAATGGAAAAAGATATGAAATACAACTTTAAGTACTGACTAATTGACAATGAAGGAAGGTAACCAGCACAGGAACCATTGGTTCTGTCGTATAATTTTGTGGTTTTCATTATTCTGTTCACCAGTTTATGGATCAATGAGGAGCTCTAGTCAAGATAAGAGGCAGTTTTTGTGCCTTGCTGTTTCGAGTGTCCTCAGTTATCTCCTGGAAGGGAGAGTTTAGATAATGTGGATGGAAGAGGTTGTTAACGATGTTGGATGCAAACTGCTGCAGCCGGGAGAAGCAGACATTTCGGAGAATGTGCACGTAGTTGCCAGTGACTCGATTATATTTGTTTTGGTCTTTATCCCAGTGTGTCGTGGCCCGGTGGACTGGATGTTGGCTGTGGTCCACCACTGTTGCTGACAGACAGCTTGTCCTCAGCTGTTACATTAAGTGCGCCCTCTACCCCCCGCTGAGCCTTTTCACTGACTGAATTAAAATTGTGATCTCAAAGGAAAAGGCAACTTGAATGATTTGCTTTCAAGTGTCTTGTCAGTGAGTTACCATGTGTCATGTTTGATTCAGTTTTGCTTCTTATCATGTCTCGTCATGTTGTGCTGTGCCACACCATTTCTTGACTCGGTTAGCAGATGTTAGGGACAATGCTTCAGTCATGTATCCTACATCATCAAGTGTTATGTATCAAGTATACAGTCTGAATCATGAAGTAGACAACGTGCAGGGACCAGGGACTATTTTCTCACTAAATTTCTGAAAATCCAATATCCACTCTTCATATCCTTGAAGTGTTACGACAGGGCTCAAGCCAAACCTACGAGTCGTGTTAAACCCAGACAGGTCGCCAAAAATGTAGTCTCCAATTAATCTATCTCCTGAAAAAAATCCATGCAAGGAGAATATGCAAACTATTCCCCTTGCTGAACCGTAACAATCAGTGTCTCCCTCATGAAATGTATCATTTATTTTCTAGAACGAATATTTTGGGGTTATGCTCCAGCCTAAAATCCTCAAAATGACTTCTTAAGAATAAGTGTAAAAAGTTTGCCATGTAGGAAAACCAGGACGAGCTGTGCAAAATGTTTTGAGGTAGCCAGACAGATGATTTGCAAATCTCCAGAGTTTAGAATTTCTAGTGAGTCAAGCCTTTAGTTCTTATTATCAGCACCATGCGATGAAAGCATGCAGTTTGATAAAAAGCTACTAAGGGCCTCACCGGTGAATCCTGCAGGACAAATATCGAACCCCATAACACAAAAGGATTCAATAGTCCGCCGAGCTACGTGACTCTACTCTCTCTGCCTTCCTAACGAATCCGGTTCATCCATCCAATTCTCTCTGCTCCGACTTTGTCCGCAGGCATCACGTCTATTCTTTCTGACGCACATGAACCGTAAAACTGATGACACGGTACATATTCTGTTGTGAGCCCCTCTTTTCTCTCTCTCCATCCTTCCTTTTGTTCACCTTTCCTCTCTGCACCGTGTGCTCCTGTAGATTAGAGTTGGCATTTGCCTCCTGCATACCCCAGGTGGGTACTGTAAGCACGAGTGCAAGGTTAACTGAATGCAGACTTGAGCTAAGCCACCAAGGAAATCTAAGCTAGCTTGGCTCGACATGCCGACTATTTCTGCAAATCTAAATCTCCTTGCCCCGGGTTTTGTCTTGCTCTGCAAAGCCAGACAAGGAGTTTCAGTGGTTTTCCAAATGTGCTTTAATAGCTCAGAGGCTTTTTAGGTGTCTTTCCCCACTCAGGTTTTGATTGGCAGTGCATCGACTCAGGCAGTATTACCATAGTTATCGCACCACACCACACGTCTAACAGCACTCAAAGCCCCCTGAGCTGTCTGTCATGCCTCTTAATTTGCACCAGAAGCAGATGAGTTGAGAAAGGATGAAATACCTGAACAGGGGTTGGACCGGGTCATAAGAATCTTGCATATTCTACATATGCCAAAATGTATTAAACACAGTTGACCATTTAAATCACATTATGAGTGACTGACATAAAGCAGTTTACCCTGTGCCACTTTTATCTACTATAACAACTGTAATAACCAAAAATTCCCTTAGTCAATTAAGGAGGTTTGCCTACGTTTGTTGGTTAGTTTGTTTTTTCAGATGTGGTATGGATCATAGAAGAACCAAATTAAATGTTGGTGTATATCGAGGATTTTCTTTATGCTTATTTTCTTCAGTTTCTTCACAATTAAAATACAGGTTTTTGACACTCATCCATGTTCTGTATCTCTCTCTCTCTCTCTCTCTCTCCGTGTCCTTCAGACTCCCATGGGATGGATCTGTTTGCGGTGGCTGTCCATGAGTTCGGTCACGCCATCGGCCTGGTCCACACCTCCGCCATGGAGTCCATCATGAGACCGTACTACCAGGGTCCTGTAGGAGACCCTCTGAAATACGACCTACCCTATGAGGACAAGGTCCGCGTCTGGCAGCTCTACGGTACGAGGGAACTTACTGTTTGTGTGTGTATGTGAAGGGTCATTTGTTATTTCCACCAATAAATCTGCTTTCAGTGTTACGAAAAGCCACACACATTATTACATAGTATTTCAGTACCTGATTAGAGGGCAGCTTCATTTTTCTGTAAAAACTCCTCTGAACTGTGCCCGACCTGAACCCAACAGGCATTCCGATGCAGTTAACATAAGCTTCACTGAGTTTGTGCTACTCTGTCCCTGACACATGGCCAGACCCTAATTCGTATATCAATTCAAAATGATTTGTCCGAACCCGGCCTGGGCTGGAGCTGAGTTTCAGCTCTCTCTTTCTGTATAAGTTCTGGGGACGCTGCTGTCAAAAAGAAGCAAAGTGGAAGTATAACTATGAAGGAGGGTGGCTTCAAATGGAAGTATGACATTTATCAGAAGTCAGTGTGGAACATTTTCTGGTGTTTCAACCTGCGTTAGTAATTACAAGTAATTACAGGAGACATTTGTTTCCATCATCATCTGCTGTATTATCACATTATGAACATGACATTTACAATTCATACTGGTTAATTTTCATAGTTCATAAAATAAATCTCTGCTTCTTCTCTGATAATTCCTGTTGAGACGCACATATCTGCATTCTCCGACACTTCCTCCTCTGCTTCACTGACCATTACTCAAGAGTCTCTGCTGTAATTACGCGTGTGTTCCCGGTGCAGCGGCGGAGGCAGCTGCTCGCCGGTGGCAGCTCAGAATATTGAAGATACAGAGACCTCCTCATGCAGGAAGCAGTTGATGAGTTCTGTAGAGCGAGGTTATTGATTTAATGAAAACAGGGATGGAGTTAATTGGGCTTTGCTGTGGCATTTGACCTTATAACGCCGCTCCCTGATACAGGAAAGCAGCAGGGTTGAGAGAAGAGAATGATAAACATGAAGAGAGAGAATGAAGTGCGGGAATAAGTGGCGAGGGCAAATGAATTGAATCAAGTTGAGGTGAAGTGAATGGATGTGAAGTCGAGGTAAAACTGCAGGAGAAGAACCACACACAGTATTCGCTATGTAATACTATGGTGAAGGATAGGAAATTAATGACATAACAAAAAGAAGACAGTAACTATGAATCAGCAGAATGTTACTACATATTTTGTTTATTCACTTCCCAGGTGTCAGAGACTCGGTGTCCCACACAATCCGACCCGGCGGCCCCTCACAGACAGCTGAGCCTCCCGTCCTGCTCGACCTTCCTGAGAACAGATCCAACGTTCTGTGAGTAAAAAACCCAGGTTTTTTCACATGCAACAAAATGTTACTGGGCTGTACACATAAAACATCCATTCCAGCCTCTTGGACACTCCCTCAGGCTCTAACTCGAGCACCTTAATGCTTGAGCCCAAATAAAACGCAGTGACCCAGCGTCACCGAAGCTGCAGTTTAACAGATGTTTTCCAGGCTTCACTCGCTGCAGATCTCTTTCAACATGACACTGCCTGTGCTTTAATGGACAGAGGAGCGCTGGTAGACCTCGTTTAGACCTGAGTGAAGTGGACAGTTTGCTGTTCGGTCGCAAATTTCTAAAGTAAATGGAACCTGACCCAGACCCAACAGGCCCTCTGTTATTTTGTGACCAAACCCAAACCGAGCCCAATGTTTTCCCCGATTACAGACACATGCGGTGTAATAAAAAACAAGTAGACAGCCCAGCCAACATGACGGAACTCAACCCCAACCCAAATATCATTTCAAAGTTTTCTTCCAAACCCAAATGAGCCTGGCACCAACAGGCTTGGGTCGAACATCCACACCCACAATCCCCAAGATGCATTGAGGACGCTTTTTAGATCTGGTCACTCAGACCACATTCGGAGGTGGTCTGGGACCCAAAGCCACATTTTGGACCCTGTTCAGACATAGTTTTAACATCCGTCCTGTGTGAGCTGATCAAAAGTGGTCAGAGCTAAGTACAGAGACGAACGCACCCAAATGCGTCCTGAATGCGTCACGTTGACAGATAGCTGGGACACATTCTTTTGACTGCATGACCTCAAATGCATCGTGAGCCACATTGAAGAGACACTTACTCAGCTGACGTCCTCTGACCCGTTTCACAATTAACCAAAATAATTTTTACCCTTCTCAGTGTTTCCCAAACATTGATTTAACTGTTGCCTCCAACATGATATTTATATGGACTGATACATTTTGATTTTCTTTTTGTGTCAATAAAAATCAGCTGTATCTCCCCACACACATCCATCTTGAAGTGCTGCTCTGTGATATGTCTTATGGCTTCTGTTAGTGAAGCTGCTGGTGCACATAAATACACACGTATTCCTTAACTGTGCCTGTTTACACAGTCATTAAAAATAGGAAGTTAAAGCAATAACAAAAGTTCAGCTGCATCAATAAGAACGCTAAACTTTTAATAGGCCTCACCCAGGTGGTGTTTATTGCAGGGAAACTGTAGTGCATGTCGTTCTATTATTCTGATTGTTCCCTGTACGTCAGGGTGATTAAGTTGTGATTGTATTTTAAGTTTTTATTATGAATCTGTGCAGGATTTCGCTACATATATTGTAAAGAAGAGTTTTTTTTTGCATCTTGATATGAAATCATGAGGTGTCAACAAAGTAAATAGGCTCGGTAATTTGGAGCCGGCTCATCTAATTAGGTAATTCCCTGCAGCGAGTTGGTCGGCTAAGAGGCAGAAGTATTTTTTATTATCAAGGATAATTAGACTTAAATTTGTCTATTAATTTTGAATGTACATAAACATACTCGCGCGCACTCGCTCCCAAACCACCAAGCGCTAACCTTCAAGTAGTCCCTCAAGAGGTCCAACCAAAACAGCTTTATGAACCTGTCTTCATTCTGATTTGAATTAAAACTTATTTTCCACTGGAAAAAATTTTTTTTTTACAACTGCCTGCAATGCAAATAGTTCACTCCCAGGTGTGATGGAAACAAGAAATATGACATCAGAGTTAATTAATTGAGTGAAATTTCTGAAAATCAAAGCTACACTTATTATAACACTCAAAACTAGCTCATATAAAATATTATTTAAAAAGTAACAGATATTTCAACTCACCCTTTTTCATGGTGTCCTTCACTGTCAGTATTTCAAGTCTCAGAAGATTTTACGATGAGAATATTAAAGACAAAGTTGGATACTTATGCCACAATGAAAAGCTCTGACAAGGCCTCTGATGCTAACCACTGAGCAGTGGTGTGGTGCTAATAGAGCTCTGAATAGAGACCTTTGTTGGTGATACAAGGCCTGGCAGGCTCCCGCTCACAGGGTCGTGGTGCTGATGGACTCATCATTGGCAGGCCGACCACATCGAGGCTTTAAATCAGTGATAAGTGCACGTGATAGAATCCCCTCTTTAGTCTCAGCCTTCTCTCACTAACCCATGCACATATCCAGTCACAGAAGAAGTGGGAATAAAATTTGGATACCTAAAAAGACGTTGGACAGGATTTTATGTGGAATAAAAATGTTCTTCCTCCATCAGCTGAAGAAAACAACATCGACTGTAGTATTTAAAAGTTTAAAGTGTTATAAATTGTCCTGGTTTGACCAAGACGTTCCTTCTCCCCTCTTTTCTTATCCCCTCTCTTCCTACTTTCTTCACGTCTCCCAGGCTGGCGCAAGATGCCCCAGACAGATGCTCAAGTCACTTTGATGCCGTGGCCCAGATACGAGGGGAGGCTTTCTTTTTCAAAGGTACAGCAGCACAGAGGGAGAAGAGTGAGAGACGCAAAGCTGCAGAGCTGCGTGGGAAAAATATATTTAAAAAAAGAAATTAGCTAAATGAGCGGAAGTAAGATAGCGATAAGAAAAGAGGATGAGAGGAGCTGAGGGGGGGAAGCAGCTGTATAGACACCCAGCTGAGCCGGTTGAGCCCCGCTAACAGACCGCAGCCCAAAAATTACATCAGGCTTTCATGCCTGCGCCTCTGGAGGGATCACCCCGAAGCCTTCCACTGAGATCCAAGACGAGAAGCAGACTCGCAGACGAGAAGCAGCAGTGTTAACAATGCTGAACTCTAATTGACATTTTGCAAACCTTTATTATTAAAAAAAAAAAAACAACATTGAAATCTTTTACATAACTTATAGCAAGACTGGACATTCGATGTTTAGAGATCATTGCTACAGTAGCTTCTGTCTTTTCTTTTTCTGAAAGTTGTTATGAGGGTTTTATGAGAGAATATATGATATAATCATTTCCAGTGAGCCACAGACATGTTCTCAAACACGTACTTTTCCACGTAGGAAAGTACTTCTGGCGACTAACTCGAGAGAAGCACCTGGTGTCTCTGCGTCCTGCACAGATCCATCGCTTCTGGAGGGGCCTGCCGACGAACCTGGACAGCGTGGATGCCGTGTACGAGCGACCAGGAGATCACAAAATAGTCTTTTTCAAAGGTACACAACCATCTGCATTTCCAATATGTCATCAAATTTCAAGTTGTTCATTAGTGAAAATAAGAATCTGGAATCGTAGGAGTTTCTCTATTTTTGTCAGTAAATATTTTAAAAGATAAAATAAAAAATCAGATGTTCATACTTTAGTACATACTGTTTTTTAGAATATTTTTAAACTGCTGACCCAACGTCTTTTTAAAATGGGATAAAGGAATGAAAAGAGACGGTTCGCCACTTCCATACGACGTGACTGGGACTCTGAGAGAAGATGAAACAGAAGAGTTATAAACTGAATAAAAACACAGGTGCAGAAACAAGGGCACAAGTTGTTATAAAATGTTTTGCAGTTTTCTGGGCGAAGAACGTTCGTCACTGGCTGCAGATCAAAAACATGTGTAAACATTTTTAATTTATTATCTTTTTGTCCTTCACATATTTTACAAGTCTCTCATCTTTTCAGATGAATCATCTCAAGTGGATACGCCGTCTGCCATGTGTGATCTTTACCATTGTAAAGTCGATTCTCTGTGTTCTGCCTCTTCAGGTCTCAAGTACTGGGTGTTCAAAGACAACATCGTGGAGGAAGGTTACCCTCGTCCAATCAGTGACTTTGGTCTGCCCTTGGAAGGCTTAGATGCAGCTTTCGTTTGGCTGCACAACGGCAAAACCTACTTCTTCAAGGACAACCACTACTGGCGCTACGACGACCACCTGAGACACATGGACCTGGGCTACCCCAAAGACAGCACGCTGTGGAAGGGGCTGCCGCCACATCTGGACGACGCCATGAGTTGGTCGGACGGTGAGTAGTCGATTTTTGTAATGTGACTTTATCATTTTCTAATTACAAACAATCGGACTATTTTCCAGTCATTTGGTGAACCACAGTTTAATCTTTACGGACACAGACACTTCCTCTGTGGTCTCCTCAAAATGAACTGTAACAACCATGTGGATCTTTTAACATCATCAGGTCAAAACAGATTTCCCATCAGCCTCAGTTGTACCTTTACTTCTAATAAACACATTTTAGCACGCTACCATGATCAAAGAGAGGAAACATGCTAATTCATGCTGCTGTCAGTATACGACTCAAAATAAAACAGACTTTTACACCTGGAATACTAAGACACTCAAGTAACAATAACTGATGTCGTACATGTTAAACGTTTGTATTTATTAGTTCTACTACTACTTCTACTTCTGTCGCTCCAAGATAACACATTCCACCACATAAATCTATTTCATATTTCAGTATTTGTTGTGATTCATACAGTTTGTTTTATTTGAGTTCATTTTGGCAATCCCTGTCTGCGTCCATGCACATGTTTTTGTTGGCATAGCTGCAGTTTTCAGATTAGAGGCACATTTGCATTTGATTGTTTTTTTTTTTCCTCATTTGAAAATATACTTTTTTTAAACATTTTTATCAGTTATTTTTGACGTAGCGAACATGATCTTTCCTGCCAACGCTCAGCTCCACATTAACAGTCCAACACGTTCAAACCTTGGAGCTAACCCAGTGTAATCACAGAGAGCGTCAAGGTCGCAACGCCTGCTCCAATCAAAGCATCCACGCTGCAGTCATCTGATCATGTATGCATGTTAATGAAAAGGTCTAACGGGGACAACTGTGCAGCATTTGTTTTCTGTTAGAGTGTCGTGTGTGTGGTCCTGTACCTTTGTGAGGACCTTTTTAAGCATAGACCCTACGGTGTGAGAACATTTTGGCTGGTCCTCGCTTTTTTAAAGGCTTGTTTGAGGGTTAAGACTTGCTTTTAGGGATATTGTTAGAATTAAGTTGGGGTTAGGCATTTGGTTTTGATGCTTAAGGTAAGTTTAGGGGCTGGCAAATGCATTATGCTAATGCATGTCCTCACTAAGATAGGGGTACAATAATCTCTGCGTGTGAATTAAGCTCTGGGTGGTGTTAGATTTTAAAAATACCCAGAAAAGAAAAGCAGCCACTGACTCTTGTAATGTGAGACCTCTCTCAGTCGGAGCCAGGATGTCCCTGATCCCCCCTGCAGCATGTGAATACAAGGAAGCTCTCTCCCTGTCAGGTGTTTAGTGGCCTGTGTTCTGTCTTCTCAGCTTGTAGACTCAGAGGTCTTGCTCCAAGCTCTTTGATGTTGGTATGCACGTGCGTGTGCAATGAAAGAGAGAGAGAGAGAGAGAGAGAAGAGGCCAATCGCACAGTCCCAACCCTGCTTCACCTCCGGCTATTATCAGCACAGAGCCTGCGAGGGTAAACTTGGAAACCTACATGCACAAGCGCACATAGGAAGACCATGGGGCCTGGGATCTGGAGCCACATCAAAGCCAGCTCTCTGTTTGTCTCAGCAGCTCAGGATGAATATGAAGAGAAAAGAGACAGAGGGGGAGAGAAAGAGTGATACGACAGCAAGGAGGAGAGACTGCGACACCTCTTGATGAAAGATGAGCAGAGAGATGAGAGGGATACCTGAGGAAAAAGATAGGAAGGAAAAGAGGGGATGTTAGAAGGATGGATGGCTCAGAGGACAGATAGAGGAATCCTAATTGCTGCTACAGTCTCTGGAAAATGTGAGAATACAGCGTCACATTTGTCGAGCCAAAGTTTCGAAATCTGTAACCACAAAGTTTAGAAGTGAATCCTGCATTTTTCATACGAAGCGTTTTAAAATAAAAGGCTTTAAAATTTTAGAAGGGGCCTCAGTCCAAAACATTCAACTGAACTTCATCTGAACTGAAACAGTCCCCCGGTTTTTTTTTTTTACGGTGACAGTTATTGGATGAAAAGAAAACAAGTGTAAAACTAGAAATTTCTCGCTAGCTACAGATTTCCCTTCAATCTGTTGTTGTCTTATCAACATATCCACTGAATTTACCATAAGCAACAATGAATTTATCCCACTAATAACTGCCTGTGTGTGTAGCCACGGCCTGAAATAGCTCATTCCAAATCCATTGTCCCGAAACAAATAGAAACACATCAGTGAGCCACAGTCCCAGTCACATGCTCCGTCATTCCCTACAACCTGGGAACTGCAGTAAATTAGCAGTCGGTCCCTTATGCAAAGTACAGAAGAATACTAACTGGCATATTAATCCAAAAATGAGTAGTACAATAAATGCAGTACTTAGCCCTGCTTTTTATCTAACTTTGCAAAGCAAAGCAGCTTTTGTCAACTTCATTTGTTCGACATTGCTGCGATTTATCTTGAGTATCAAAAGAAAACATCTTCTCAAACTGATTCAGTGATTACTCGCCAGAAATGGGAGATTTATTCACCAACTTTGATGCCTGTCTGACTTTTGGTCTCTGTGGAAAAGAAAGAAGCTGAAGAAGACTGTGGAATTCAGGCCTTTGGGCTCTGTCTTCCAATAATGAAGACAGATGGATAAGGAAGAGATTGTCAAGTCTAGTCACTTTTATTTATGTAGCACATTAACAACGACAGTTGAGCCAAAATGCAAAGGAAATAATTAAGTTGGATAAGAAGTAATATGATAGAATCAAAATGTTTGCAAGAGAAAAACAGTAGAAGACTCGATGAGGTAAGATGAGGTAAAAAAAAAAAAGGAATAAACATTTATATCAAGGCCAAAGCCTTAATAAATAGAGCAACAAGCTGGAGTGCGTAAATCATTCAGACGACAGATTTCTACATTTAATTCATACAAGGTGATGCGCAAACGTTCTACACCACTCCGTGTTCAGGTCCTTGACCAACAGAAGATATTCAGAACCGAACTGAAAGCTCTGATTGTTCTATTTTGAATTTGCTCTGATTTCATCATCGTACTTCTTTCAACACCGTCAACGTGACAACAAGACACCTTGAAATTACTTTAATGTCTACAGATTTAACTCAACTAACCCTCACCCGAACAAAAAGAATGTTACGACTGCAGTTATCACTTCTGATAGCTATTTTATGACTTTGCAGGCTTTGTTCATAAAACGTGGTATTTCCACAGTGTGAAAGTCTTTTTCTCGAGATTCTGTCAGAGCCTTTTTAGTATTTTGGTGACACTAATTAACTTAAATATACTAAAGTGAAAGGACAGGCACAGTAGGGGGAGTGTCGGTAACGATCAAGTGGCACGGTGCAATTACGGTGTCAAGAACGCCCACGAGGCGTTTCTGTGATCTCGGCTGTCCAACAGAGAGCCGGGAAGAAATTACCACATATTCAGATGTATTTTAAACCCTTTTATGAAAATGGAATCCTCATGTATTTTGCTTATTTATTCTAAATATTGAACATTTGTGTAGTTGCAAATTAAACTAGATTTGAATCTATTAAAGTAGCTGCTATTTTCTTTTGGAGAGAATCTTTGATCAGGAGGTTTTAGTTTTAAGAATCATCTTATTAGGAGACAAGCTAAATTTTTTATCAGAGCACATCAAACAAACCCACTGAAGAAATAAAAACAATATGTCTTCGGGTTGTCCGTCTGACCCATTTTTGTGAACAAAATATTATAAGAACACCTTGAGGGAATATCTTCAAATTTGGTAACAAAATCCAGTTGGACTCAAGGATGAATTGATTCCATTTTTGTGGTCAAAGATCAAGGTTTCTGTGACCTCACACTTGAAGTGTTTGGATTTGTGAACGCAACATCTGAGAAACACTTTAAATGATTCTTTTCAAATTTGGTACAAAATCTTCGGTTGGACTCAAAGATTGACTGATTAGATTGTGGTGGTCAAAGGAAATGGTTTTTCTTACCAAACATGTATTTCCTTGTGAACACATCTTGGAGAAAACAAAAAATATGTCTTCAGCTTTGGTTCAAATGTTCACTTGTACTCTATTAGTAATTGATTCGATTTCAGTGGTCAAAGGTTGAAGGTCACGATGGCCGCTTATTGTAAATATTTGTCACTGGAGGGACTGAAACTGCATCAGTCTGCAGACGCATTCAATAATTCATTTTTACCAAAATGAAAAAAACATAATTTTGTGAACTTATTTTTGCTTTATATTGCATAATTTTTTTCTTGCCTATAGAAATGATAAATGTATGTGTATGGTAAAGAAAACAATTATTTTTATTAAGAAGAAAGACCCCTGCCAGGTGTGTATTGTATATTCCACTATGGATTTGTTTTTACATACACACCCTGCTGATATGCATCTTCTGTAATCGCAATCAAATTATTCTCCTTGCATCTCAAACAGGTGGGGGGGGAGGTAATAACACTGTGAGAGTGCTAAACATAAACACTTTCTACTCTGGATCACTGGTTCACGAAATTAAGGCCCTTGATGTTTCTACGTGTTCTGTGCTTGTTGTGTGTTTGAGATGAGAGCAAAGATAATTCTGTTGACAATAAAGAACACACAGACACTAACACCGACCCTCTCTCTCTTCTCTCTCTGTGAAGGCTCGTCCTATTTCTTCAAGGGGAAGGATTACTGGCGAGTGCCGGGCAGTGGCATGGAGGTGGAGGCCGGGTACCCCCGCCTCATCGCCAAGGACTGGCTGCTGTGCACGGAGATGCAGTCGGACTCTCCCGACGCAGAGCCCAAGAGCACGGAGACGAGAGGAAACGTGCAACATCACCCGGACCACGCGGAGAACGGGTACGAGGTTTGCTCCTGCACCTCGGACACCGCCTCCCCTTTGGGCGCCCGCCCCTCCCTTTCTCCCCTCTGGCTGCTGCCACCACTCTGGACGCTCTCGCTGGCCCTCAGCTCCGAACTTCTATGATACCAAAGCACGGGACCTTGAGTTCCTGAGCTGACTGGTGGAGGGCCAGTGGACACAATCCAACAACTGGAATACTTTCTTCTTATTTTATCAGTTGGCTTCATTTCTGCTCTCGTTTTGTTATTATTTATTTGGCGTTTGGTCCTTAAAGACATCAACCTACCCACATTGCTCTTTAATGATTATGGAGGCAGAGATAATGGACTGTACTTATATAGCTCTCACATTCACATACGCATTTAAACAGCAACATTCTATACGCAGCACTTCTTCTACCCCCACCATTCATACACTGTCGTCACAGCCATCAGGGGCAATTAATCTTGATATCTTGCCCAAGGTCACTTTGGAATACAGACTGTAGGAGCCAGGGATCGAACCACCTTCTGGTTTGTGGACGACCCTCTTTACTCCTTAACCACAGCTGCCCACACAAAGGAAAGAGTTATTGATTACTTCTCATCATGAGGACTAAGTGATGTCTCACACACAGACGGATACAAGGCTGCTTGGGTTATAGGCAGGTGCAGAGGTGAACGACATGCGGACACACACTGTTGCTTATCTTCTGAAATGACAGCAGATTTTCATATTATCACGCTTTCCTCTGATGGTATCTGAGTATACAGATGGTTCTTTTTTAGGTCATAGTTTCTGCCTCCACCCCAAATCGTTGGAATTAGATTTTTGCTAAGTTGAAAAATGATATTTCAAAAACAGTTAGTGAAAAAAAAGATCAGTATTAAGGCTCATTTATGCTCAATGGACAGAGGCTTCTCTCTGTCTGTGTTGATTTGGTCCTTATTTGTGAACATCTGAAAGCTCACAGATACGAATGAAACGGAGCAGTACCACCGGAAATTGTGGGGGGGCAGTGTTGCCAATAGATCAAGTGAGACGATCATATCATCTGTCACAATAAGTGTAGAGATGAATCCAGAACATCGCAGGATACCACCACAGAGAAGTGAGTTTGAATAATCTTTAGTAATTTGGGGAACTGACCCTTTAATAAACCCTATAATCCACACATATCCATCACTGTTCAAAGTGAGGTCGGAACCAGCTCGACGTAAGTGCTTGTGACGGCTCTGACTCTTGCCGACAGTGTGAAAACTTCTTACTGTGAGAGCGAGACAGATGCTCGGATGAGTAGCTGGATGGACTACACCAGTTTTTTTTTTCCTACTAAATCCCTCAGCTATACTCTGGAGTGATGTGCTGCTGCTCATGACTACATTTCCATGGTTTCAGTATTTTCGCCTCTGGGTTGGAAGTAGTCCCTGCTCTTGGTTCTCTAGTATTTCCCTGTTGACTTTTTACATTGCTTCGATCAGGTTATAGAGTTTATAGAGCCTTTTTGTGACTGTTGGACAATTCCCCTCTCACCTCTTATAGTCCTTCTGAAGACAAGGGTCACAACACGGCGTCCAGATTTATTCTTGCTGTAAAGATATATTTACCTATAGACTGATATATTTGAGTTGAGAGGTTCTGCAGCTGCTGCATATCCAAGTGGGCTGTGTATATTTTAAGCTGTGTTTTCTAATGTAAAATATTTTTGTAGAAAAATAAAAGGATCTGACTTTATCGGTTTTGTGGGCTCACGTGAATTTGTATCACTGAATTTATACGTCATGTCCTGCTCTCTATATTCTACTCAAGTGCCTGAATGCTCCAGACATTTCCCCGATGTCTTCTTCATTTGTAAAAACCAGACTCAGAAAATTATCCATGGTTAATTTTCCAGACATTTTCCGAAATTCCTGAAAACAGCTTTGGAGTACTCAATCTTGCGTCTTGAGCTAGTGGTAAACCACATTGTGTCAATCACACTGCACAGACACGTTTGACATGTTTCTTAAGGAAAGTAACGTCACAAAATCCCAAAATATTCACCTGCTCAGATATGACTACTACAGAGATCAAAGATAACAGCATGACAGGCCTCTCGAGACACACACACACACACACACACACACACACACACACACACTATTTTACCCTCTTGAGTAGCACAACTACGTACAGACAGGAATATCTACATGTTTGTTCCACCAAAACGAATGCAGACTTAAAACCCTCATTCTGCTTTGATGTAGAATCAAGTTTAAAAGTTTAAAAAGTCACCCAGTCACTGCTTCTGCCGACAGCAGCAGTTTTCCTTCCTTCCACTTGACACAGTCGAGTGGTGTTAATTAACTGGTGCAGCTCAGCAGCCAGCAGGAGGGCACCTGCACCCACAGGCGAGTGCAGCGGGGTGGGGTCACTTTCTAGCCGCGCATCCTGTAAGATGTGATGAACAGATCGATTAGACGTGTTTGATTTAGTCATATTGGAGGTTTAAACATAAAAGCTCACTGGAAACGCTCAAATAGAGGCATCATCCACGGAGCTTCTCCGACAGTCACAGCTTGAGCCTCCAGATGGGCCAGGCAGAACCAATCAATCACTCTGCAGCTGAAATATTGAAGACTGGAGGAGAGCTGAGGAGGTGCAGTGGGAGGGTTTTCTGGGAAGAAAGCGTTCGGTAAGAGGAGAAGCACGTGGACTGACAGTGAGTGATCGTAATAGACAGGGTTAGAAACAGAGAGAGAGGAAAAGTGATAATAGAAGAGTTGGCAGCCGCAAGAACAAAAACACCGAGACGATAAACAGATGTGAAGATTGAAAAAAAAAGGAATGTCATCTCTAGACAGCGGCAAAGATAAGAAAGCAATTTAGCCGTATGTTTATAGTCCACAGGAGACAGGAAGCGGTTTTCATATGAAAATTGGGCACTTGATTCTACAATCTCAGTTATATAGGATTGTACTGTACATCAATCAATCTCCAATCATAGAACCGTTTCATGAAAAGCGTTGCCTCTAAAATCTTGATTGCAGACAAACCAGGAGGGATGAATACAAACTTTTCTTCACCATAGACCGTGTATGATAACTCTTCACCGGAGCTTTAACCCATTCCAAACAGGTTTAGAACGACCACTGAACCATTATCTTGAAATGCTCCCTGAATAAAGCCAGAGTTCAGCATCAGACCTCTTGTTGTCAGACCTATGACAACATGTCGACGCCCAACAAGGACACAGTGAAATCAGTTACAGGTGAGTCGGCCTCAGACAGGGAGGTTAGCGCTCTGCAACAATAATTCAGAACCGCACTCTATTTGTACCTCACACAGACGCGTCCACCTCAGTGTGTCTGGTTTTAGGTTTTCAGACAGAGCTCAGGTCATGGGGGAGAAGAGCAGCTGTTGTGTCTGTCCATTTTGCATTTCGCCCGTCCTCACGCACGCCTCCACCCTGCAGCCCTGGAACAGGACCCCCCCCCCCCCCCCCCCCCGCCCCCTGCCCCCCCGAAGCTGGCACAGGTGCAGAATACACAACGTGGACCTCTGCATATCTGACAGGGTGCGACACTGGAGCCACAGGAGAGGCTGCCAGCAGACAAGATGCTGGAGTGGTTGTTTCTGAACAATGAAAACATCTACATTTTTTATCATGTGTAAGGGAAACTGCCAGACTGTAGGAAACCCAAACAAAATCAGCACATGCATGAACACATGGATGCTGCTCTCTGGAACGTACATCTAATTATTATTACAGGATTTGGTCTAGTTCCTCAACCAGTCAAAATTTTACTAAAACTGAAGTAGAGATATTCACTTATTTCCTGCAAAATTCAGCATATTTCAGATCGATAATGTGAGAATGTGGAAGGATATAAAATGTTGAGGTGACAAACAGGTTAAAGTGCAGGTTTTGGAATTTTCAGCAACTAAATAAAAACTTTTTTATTTAAGAAAGTATAAGGAAAATTTGGATTTTGCTAAATCGATCAATAAAGTTGTCAATCAACCGAAGCAGTTTTAGCCAATAATTGAAATGTAAATGTGCAGAAGAGTAAAAACTGCTGTTACATTCACAACTGTTCATTGGTGCTCTGCTGCCCTCTGCTGGTGCTGGGATATAAGATTTTGACATTAGTTGTCTTATCGCTAATCATTTGCTAATTCATGTAAAAGAGTAAAATTCAGTGTGTTCTGCATTTTTCTCATCAATCTTACTATTTATCATTATATTAATCAAAAGTGAAAACTAGACATAAGACACTAATCTGCTTTGTTGTTGTCCACAGACTCATGAAATGATTCCACAATCATCAAAATAACAAAATGTATTAATAGAACTTCTGAAATAAACTAATCTCAGCTCTTTTTTTTTTTATCCCCCGTTCCTCCTGAATAAACGTCCTTTCGGTTTTCTCCTCATCTCTCATCCCTTCCTCCTTCCTTCTTTTTGTCCTTCTCTTCGTCTCATCTGCTTACGGCTCATCCACCTCTAATTTTTCATTATAATCATTTCATTAGTGTCTCTCTTTCCATCAATTCCTTTTCACGTTGCTTTTCATTTGTCATGCTGTTCACGCTAGAAGTCAAAAAGTCATTATTTGCTTTACATGAAAAATCTCCGAGCGTTGCGATGTCCTTGATCAGGCTGCACTTTCAGCACCAACAGCCTATTTGTTTCCCTCCCCTTGAAAGGTTTCCCTTCTGAATCTTAATTTTCTTTCTCCTCTCACATCTCTCTTGTCTGCTGATATCCTTTTTAAAAACCTGATATTGCAGCCTCATACTTTTTTTTTTCATACTTGTCTGAAAGCCCTTTTTCTTATGTGATAAGCTTCTTTCAGACAAGCACTGACCGCCACAGATCCTCCAGACATTCCCCAGAGGAGCCGACTGACACTTTCTCCAGCCAGTCCTCTAGTACAACGTCTGCAGAGTGTCCGGAGGAACCAATGAGAGAAAGCAGCAGGTGATTTTCCGCAGGGTTCACAGTGAGCGAGTCTGTAAGTTAAAGGGATAGTTCACAGAAAAATGGAAATCTACTCACCACTTTGCAGATGGAGGGCGGGTGAAGTAACTGTGGACTCCTGATGAAAGCCGTACACGTAGAAGATGCAGGTGAAGACGTCACAAGATCTTTCGGTGATAAGGGTCGATGTGCTGTAAAATTCATACGTCACAGACATACGAATAAATTTCATTTATGAAGCGTCTGACAATATATAGAATAAAAGCGGGTCAGCGAAAAGGCTGAATAAAGATGTAAATACATCTTTATCCTTGGAAATTACATCAACCTCCTCTGAATGCTGGTGAAACAGGATTTTATATTAGGGGCAGAAAGGCTCATTGTCCAAACTCTATGTGTCAGCATGCTCAGCAGACCAGGAAGTTATGATGTAGAGAAAGTGCTGTGTCTTTATTTTCTTCTGAACCTGTTTCAGTGTGTACTGAAAAATGTGACAATTTGTCTATATCATGATGTTATTATCATTATGATTTGTTTCAGGTTGATAATTGCTGCTGTTTCATATCAGATGTTTTGGGGTTTTCTGTCCGTTCATCAGTCCATCCTACTCTTGTGAACGCGATATCTCAAGAACGCCTTGAGGGAATGTTTTCAGATTTGGTACAAAGTTTCACTACGACTCAGGGAGGAACTGATTATATTTTGGTCTAATACATAAAGAAATTTGCACTGTGAATGTGTTATCTCTGGAACGACATAAGGAATTCCTTTCTAATTTGGTCTAAACATTAACTTGTACTTGAGGATAAACTGATTTGATTTTGTTAACCAAAGGTTTCTGGAGTTTCTGAAGAGTGAGAAATGAAAGCTTTAATGAAACGATGATTGTTGGTGTTTTGTAAAGGTCTCTGTCAGAACAGTTATAGATTGTTTTTGCGTTCTGTAGGTTATTTATAAAGGAGAAGGAATACTAATAAGTCACTCTTTACTTTCTGTTACTGGTCGCTCACCATCCTACTGCATGCAAGTCAAGCAAAAGTCACGTGTAGAGACACATCTCTCAATCACCAGCACCCGGATCATGCATCTGCAGCTGAGACCAGCTCATTGAAACTGTTAAAACCACAGCATTTCCTGTGCAATGAGATCTTTTTCACAGAACTGACAGATTAGAAAAGCAACATGACACAAATGTAATGCAGGAGAAATGCTGAGTGTTTGCAGTGTTACTAGTGATCTGCACTAATCACAGTGCATTTCTGCAGCACCCCCTCTTCTGCTTGTCTTTTCTACATGAGCTCGACTTGGTAGAGTAGCTGCAGAGGTGACACATGCCGCAGGTGCGAACAAACCGAATTCCACGTTCAAGCCCGGAGTTGATTTAAGCAGAAGAGAAATGTTTCAACATGCCTGCAGTCGGAAATGCCTCGTACAGACACTCTTGTGCTCTCTCTAAGTGTGCAGTCAAATCGGGATATAGGTGTATCAGTCTGCTCAGGGAAATGGTTCCGTCCAGAACTGCAACACTGGGTCCTTGCTACAGAGCTTTAGAAAAACAGGTTCAATATCTTGTCACGGTTTCAACTTTAGGACAGAAAGTCTCACATCCTCTAATCTGAAATTTAAAGTAGGCACGACAAACGTCAGAGAAACAGCGAAAACAATAGAACAAAATTCCAAGTAATTCATCACTGTCAGTTTTCCTGATGGCTGAGAGGATTTAATAAAAGTGTTCGGCTTGACAGAGCATCTGACCTGCCTGAGTCCATAAAGGGCAAATGTTAACGTCTGGTGTTAAATACATTTTGAAGAATGCTCCCGGTGAATATTTTACACCTCAGGTTGATGCAGCTCAAAACTTTGTAACCACGTAAACACAGAAACTTCTTGTTTCCTTAATGTGACCCTGGGAACATTTGAGCGGGGGCGACAAACACCCCTGAGAGTCAGTGCCACCGGTGCCGTGCATCAGTGATCTGCCTGAGCAGAAATAGGAAAAAATGGAAAATAAAGTTTTGAATCTTGAATCTAATTTTGAAAAACCCAAAAAGTAAGGTGTGAATTTGAGCCTAGCCGAGTGATATGTTTAAATAATGTTTTCATGGATGATCATAGATAATAATCACGATGAAACTAATCAGGAATATTTAGGGGACAGATATCTATGATTAAGTGTAATTTGGGGATCATCGGACCGTGGTGGTGGTTTGCACTCTAGTACGTGTTGTTGTAGTAAAATTCAATTGTTTTACTGGATCATTATTCAGCTTGTTCCAACTCTTCAATAAATCTATATGTTTACACTGATGATGTTTTTTTATCCACCCTCGTGCATCATTTATATACATTTATATACATGTGCCCTGCGTGGGTGGTGTCTTTGGAAACTTTGAAATATTCATTACAATTTGAAACTAAAAAAACAAAGGCAATGCTGATTTAAATTGGAACTTTCTTTTCTTTCATGTAGGATTGAAGTGGCTGGGCTGTAAACTTTGAATATTCTCCTCCACAGCCCACAGTCGTGCTCTCCCCTTCCTCCCACCAGCCTTTCATGTGAACGGGCTGCTAACTGCTGGCTCCATCGAGCGCTCGTCCCCTCCCGGGGCACTTAAGGTAGCATGAAGGGGGTGGAGGCAGGGCCAAATGGCTCCATAGGATTAGTGGCACTGCTCGCCATTGTCAAGGCTAGACCCCAACCACAATCAGCTCTGTAATATCCCGGCTTGTCCTCAATACACAACCTGAAGCTGCCAGGAAGGACCCTGTTTGTCTGCTCCTCCATCCCCCCCACAGGCACTTTGAAATTCTGCTCAGCTGTCCTTCAATTTGGACCAAAACAGGAGACCAGGAAGTGAATCTTTTATGCATTTCAGGCCTGGTTCATAGGCCGGTGCCTCTTCAGGTGCAAGACCACAGCAGCTCTTGTGATTATATAACAGAGACCAGGCAAAAAGAGGAAGTAGAAAAAAAGGATGGATTTAAATTAGTTTTCTTTTAATCTGACACGTGTCCTGGTTATTGTCACGTGCTCTCAGTGATGTCACCACCAGAGCACCAGTAGCCTAAATAAAAAACAAAAAGACATTTACCCACAATGCCACAGTTTGGAAACAGCTTGTGTGAACTTCATAACAAAAGGCCTCAACATCAGGTAACACTCTCACCTGCCCCCCCCCCCCCCCCCCCCCCTCAGTCCATCCAGACCACACACCCCTCTGCTGTTTAGACTCCACCCTCTTTGTAATAACCAATCAAGTTCAAGGCTCGGACATTTCAAGGATAGAGACCCCTGATGGATCTGACTTCAGAGTTAGAACTTCTGAAAACAAAGCAGCACTTTATTCTCTGAAGCTCAAGGATCTGCTGAGTGAAAACTGATCACAGGACACAGCAACATGCAACACTTCTCTGGTAAGTTTTGTTTTCATTACTTCTCTTTCCTGTGTAGAAGGAGCATGTGCATTGTGACACTAGACTTAGTGATGTACCTAAAAAGAGACACTTCATGTAAAGCTTTGTTTTTGGGCTGTAGATCAATTCAAATCAGTCTTGCAGGATGCATGAAGCATTGAAATAGTTATTCAGCTTTTTTATGCATAAAAATGAGCAATTTTACTGTTTGAAGAGGAATAAACACAGAGATCGAGCTCTGGCTGCACACAGTTATTCTGATCCCCAGCATTTCATTAAACCTGATTGCAGAGAGATATAATCTTGTTTCTTTGTAAGAGTTTTTTAACACACATTCTGTATTTCAACACATGAACCTTGAATTCTTTACCTGGAACTGTTGAGATGTTTATTTTCATTGTGTCCTCAGACTGTAAATCGAACATGAGCGTGCCCCGATCCCCTCCAGCAGCTGACTCCTACCAGCAGGGCTGCATCAGGATGACCCTGGAGAACGCAGATCTCTGGAAGTCCTTTCACAACATTGGAACAGAGATGATTATAACAAAGCATGGGAGGTAAGCTGGGAATTGAGGCTATTTCTAGCTTCTTGAAAATACCAGTCGTGTTTTGAGTCATTTATCACATAAACAAATGTTTAAATTGCTTTGCAAGACAATGTTAGTGTTGCAAAGCAAATCCTTTGTACAGTTTGTACAGTTTGTGTGCACGGATCACAGCACTTTGATTCCATTTGCAACATTCACTGACTGATGAGTTTGTGTATTTGTTTCAGGAGAGTGTTCCCCCACTGCAGCGTCAGTCTTACCGGGCTCCAGCCTTTTGCCAATTACATCATCATGATGGACATGGTTCCTGAAGACAGCTTCAAATACAAGGTAAATAAATATGCGCACTGAGTACTGATGTATCACTGCACATCTTTAAATTCAGGGACTAAATAGTGTCTGTTTGAAAAAAGCAGCAGATTGCTCTGCAGCAGACACGGTCCTCCCCACTGTGGGCCACACCGCTGCATATCAAAGCCTTTCATTGCTTCCTGTTTGTGCACTCTCGGCTGGGGGCCCAATCAATTAGCATCCCTCCTTATTCACGATCGGTGAGTGAGAGGCAGTCGACCATCCACGCAGTCATCAACTGATGTGGCCCATTTGGTCACAAATACTGCTTTTAACACACACTTGAAAACAATGAAGTACGCTATAAAGGTTTTAAAGTACTGTAGGAGAGCTGTGAATGAGTTTACAATGGAGGCGAATAGAATCCCCGAAGAAACAGGGATTTTTTAATGATTTATCTTAAAAAAATCAAGGACCAGAAAACAAGAGCGTCCCTGAACCGCCTGTGACCAAAGAAGAAGAAAAATATCCTGCGATCAATAACAAAAATAAAGATTTCCTGCTTCATGAAATTGATTAATCAAGAAAAGTCCTGAGGTCTCGACACTCACACATGCATCCCTTCCTCCCCTAATTTCTCTGTAGTGGAAAAAGAATCAGTGGGAGGTCGCAGGGAAGGCAGAGCCCCAGCCCCCGTGTCGGACATACATGCACCCAGACTCCCCTGCCACAGGAAGTCACTGGATGAAGCAGTCGCTGTCTTTCCTCAAGGTGAAGCTCACCAACAACACCTTGGATCAGCACGGCCACGTAAGACGCCACCTCACTATCTTTGAATAATCATCTGAAGCTGTTTATCCATCTGCATTTTGCTCACTCCACTCTCTTCTTCTTCAGATCATCCTGCACTCCATGCATCGCTACTTCCCCAGGTTTCATGTGATACAAGCAGACAGTCCTTACACCGTCCGCTGGGGACCCTTCCAGACCTTCTCCTTCCCTGAGACGACCTTCACTGCAGTGACAGCTTACCAAAACCCAAAGGTACAAACCTACCTTCAAAAAAATACACAGAAGTTTGATCAAATCTGCAACTGGCAGGTCACAGAAACAAAAGAACTGCAGTGTCAAACAGCAAACCACCTTTATTTTATTTTTTTAAGATCACCAAATTGAAGATTGACCACAACCCTTTCGCAAAGGGATTCAGAGAGGGAGGCACCCACTCCCACGGTAAAAGGTACGAAATAATTCACATGCAATCAAAAGCAATTCAGTGCTACTTTACACTTTTCTGTCAATGTAAAGACGGAATTAAAATGTTTTTATCTTTCCATAGGTGTCGGAATGGAAGCCCCCCTGCAAAGAGAGCCACACTGGACAGGAAAGCTCTTTGTAGCAGTCCTCCAGGTAAGTGTTTAATCAAACTACACCAACAGATACAAACCTTGAGGGTATTATTAAGTGTTTTCTTTTAGCAGTGTGCCAATGCCTCTGACATACCTGTGAGATCTTACATCAAACGTTGTATTTCCCTCTCAGACCTGCAGAGGATGCCCTCCACCTCTCAGTCGGCGCAGGCAGAGAAGAACCAGGCCTCCGTGCAGCCTTCATCGAAGGAGGGTCACCTCTCAGCCTGGGCGGTGGAGCAGGACCCGTCTGAGAGACTCCACACTGAGCCCCTGGAGCTCCACGAGTACGACTACAGCTGCGAAGAACAGATGGTGCCTGCGTCCATGGCATACCAGCCCTACAGGTCAGAGCTGAGAAACCTAGGATGAGATAGAAATCCAATGAGGCTTAGTGCAGGGAGATAAAATATAAACTGAGATGGTAATGAGACAAATGAAGCACTAACACAAAAATGGATTAACCTCAGGATCAGACTAGTTTCAGATATTCACGATGAATTAAATTAACCCAAACATCACTTTCTTTCCTCCAGATTGGTTGAGTACACCAGATTTCCCTTCCCGTCCAACGACGTAGATCCAACGCACGCCCTCGCCCACCCCCCTCCTCACACACTCTCCACAGCGGAGCACGGCGCCCAGCAACAACCCACCTACCATCACCACGGCAACGCAGCGGACTGGAGCCAGTACCCTCTCTTCTCATACTCCTGTTGGTGAACTTTGACCCTTTGCAATGGTGACATCATCAGTGGAGGATAAAGTCACTAAGGCCTAGAAGAGAATGAAGAGATGCTGTTATGAGCAGACCAGAGACTGATAGACCACTCCTATGGTTTGTGTGTTAAGTGTGTACAAAGTTTCACACATGTCCAGGACCTGGGCAGATATCAGGGATTTCTTAAATTGAGATTTATGTTCCTGCAAATATGCTTGAGCTTTCACAGTTGTGCGCTCTAAATAGATATACAGTGTGTGTTTTAAGATGTATATATAGTGTATATTGACCTGTTTTCAGGAGGGAAATAAGTGAGAAATAAAATCTGGAGGACGAAAAGAATGTTGAAATAAAGAGTCAAAAATTTCTTACATGACAATGCATTAAAAAGCAGAAGTGTCTCAACATCTATCTGTAAAAATATAGTTTCAGGTAGGTCATCATGCATAAGTAAGATTTTATATTCAGGTTTAGATGCTGAGGAAATAAACCATAAATAGAGAACAACAGGTCATCCTGTTGGTTTTCAATGATCAGATTGACAAAGCTCACCACTGAATATATTTACATAAAAATGTCAACATCTGAACATGAGTCAGAAACCCATAAACAAATAATGGTTTACAACCACACCAGCAGCTCTGCAGCAATGCTTTATTTAGGCACAGCAGCAGAACTGCTTTGGGCTAAATGCTAACAAGCTCAGTGAGCAGGTTTCATGTCATCTTAGTTTAGTGAGTGTGCCAATTATTGCAATACATAGAGTGCATTTGAGTTTAGCGTGCATCAATTCTGCAAATGTTTAAGTTAGATGAAAAGCTAAAGGATCAGATCAAGACAGGGACATGAATACCTGTGTCGAATTTAATGTGATTCCATCAAGTGTTTGGTGAGATACTTGATATGTGATGAGGTATTTCAGTCTGGAGAACAGTGGTGGCCCAGTCGACCTTCATCACCGTCCATAAAACCAATATTAACCTGCCAAGTTGCAACAATAGCTCCAGTTACCATGAGGATCATGTAAATAAGGAGCTCTGGTAATTCAAATATAAATAACTAGAATGACTAGAACTATTGTCCTAGTTATGCCCAGTGAAAATGTACAAAAAACATGTCCTCCCCTTTTTCCAGATTTGTTAAAACCATTTTATGGGATCCCTCTTGGTCCTTCCACCATGTTTCATAAATCCATTCAGTAGTTTTTGGGGTAATCCTGCTGAGAATCAAACAAACAAATGGACACATGGGAAAACATTACCACCTTGGTGGAGGTAATAAAACATGTGTAACCATTTAAGTGTTGTTCCATCAGCTGTTTGTTCTGTTTCTTCTGGGCTGAAGCATCACACAACAACTCTGAGATGAGTTGGGAAAGGGTAAGAATGATGGAGCAGAGTGAGACTGTCCTCGAGCAGCGGGTCTGACCTGATACAGCGATGACAGTCAGCGAGTGTGGAGTTACCATCATGGTCTGGCATAGTTTCCCCAGCAGAAGGCCGGAGCGTCTGTGCTGTAAATGTTTTACGAGAGAGGGAGAGAGCAGACATATCTGGGACATGAGGGGGAGCAGACACTGCAAAAGACATTTTCTGGAGCACATATACTTTTTAAAGATCAATAGTAAAAAAAAAAAAGAGAAGTAGAAACAAGTTGTTATAGTCACTCAGACATGGTGCCTATAAGGACGTTTTCAAACTGCGACTCTCTGAGCACACGATGGCCGTTCTACCCTCCATGTCTTCGAGTGGCGGCCCGGGTCATCTGGGTCACCCACATACAGCAGCTCATCCTGGATTCCTCTCACCACGCTGTGAAATGAATCACTGAGCACAGATGGGGTCAATTAGTGTGCTCGAGCTGCAGCGCCAGCTCCAAAGGGCATGTGAACATTTGGTCAGGGCTTCAACCAGAGCGAACCGATTTTATGAGATCTATACTGTACCTCAACGATGCCGTGAAAAGATAATGACACGGAGAGAGAAATATTTTTACATGATCGAACCGGACGGATAAACACACGTACTCAATTTGTTTACTCGTCTGCCGGAGGGGGTGAATATCTATAAATGGAACGAGGTGTGTGGATGACACACTATTCCACAGATGGCTGTGGCCGGTTATGCTAAATCCTTAATTTGTTAACCTGGCACAGGCACCAGGACCTATGTATATACAAAGACAAGCATTATTCCATATAAACCATTTGAATGTATACAATAGAAGCATTCTACAGCCATGGTGCATCCATTAAACTGTTACATCATCTTGCACATCCATATCTGCTTCAATAAAATCAAGGGGAGGGTCCATGCTAGTGGAAAAAGCTTATAGTTAGCTAAAGCTCTGTTTTGCAAGCACCTGCATATGTGCGTCATATTCCTCTTAGCAGATGGATCTGGAGTCTTCAGTACACGATCAACACGGAACATTTTATCAACGCATTTCCACATACTCATGTTGTTTGTACCTGTTTTTGCTCAACAATCGGCCGCTGTCGATGCCCAACTGAAACATCGCCCTTGAAAAGTTTTCCACTTCCCTCCTCTAGGTCAGCTGACTGTCTTTTAATAGCACTTCATTAAAATTCATTAATTGCTTCCTTTCTCCTGGGCGCTGCCAGAAATCAAAACTGGAACTGTCAAAAATTAGAGCACAAGTGACTGTCCTGTGCCCCAGATACACAACCTGTGACGCCAAACACACACACACATCTCCTGGAAGAACAACAAGCACATGGACGACAGCGCAGCGACTTAAAGAAGTAGACGTAAATTTTATTTACTTGTTCTGTACATAAAGGGTCAATACCAGCACAGGTGTTAACCATGGGAAATATTAACACATGTAAATGGTATAAGAAAATAAAAGGCACAATTTTCAATTCTTAAGTACAAGACAGGCTTTCCTAGAATATGAGAAGAGAGCACAGTAATACTGTTAATGCCATTACAAATAAACAACTCAGAAGCATGAGAAAAGCGAGTTCACCTCGAGAAAAGGAACTAATCAGGGCATATTGCTTAATTAGTAGATTTCATTATGTCTGATGAGGAAAACCCCACACTGGTTTGTTTGCACAGACCAGAGGGGATCAAAATAAGAGAAACCTTTATTCAATAAGGAAACGAATGACATTAAGCAGCATTTGGCCGAGCAGAAACATCTCCCCCGGCCAAGAGGTCATGCACAGAGGCAACCAGCAGGCATTTTTCCCTTTTGTAAATGTCACCTTAGGTACTTTTTGTTTAATAACATCACTCATTTGAACAAAAAAAAAAATGCTTGATTTAATAGCTGACTACAAACAAAAACTTGGATACAACTAAAAGCTGCACAATTACTCAGCGTGAACGGCCGAGTAATGATTTGAACAGAGAGCACGGGGTGGGGAAAACACGTGAGCAAAACTTTTTTTTAAATTTTTTTTTTACAGCAGAAATTAAGGGGTCATCAATGTTTTCATAATCGTTACACCCTCAGCTCCTACTAAACAAACTGAATTGTTTGCAGCGCAGTTTGAACTAGTCCGATGGAGTCTGTTTTGCATAAAATGAGTAAAAAATTGTGCACGGACTGAATGTTGAAGGAATAGAGCAGGTTGTAAATTGACAGGAGTAACATCACATTAAAAACATATGGTTAGAGAGGGCGTCGCATGCACTAAAAGATGCATTTACTATCTGGAAAAAAAGGCATCTCATTGGCTTGCTGAGGCATTTCCACATTTCCTGACCTACACCACTGATATAGCAGAGTTCTCATTTCAGTAAAAGCCTTTAGTCCCGAGTGCTCATGCTGCGTTTTAAGCTAGCTGTTCAAAGCTGGGCACTTCACTGGAAGAAGTTGGAATATATCTTCCAGTGCTTGTTGCTGTTGGCACTAAACAACCCTGCTCGTCTATAAATTTAATGAGAATGGCAATCAAGCGGTACCAAATGGGCATGCAAAAAAAACCCCCTCCACAACACATCTTATTGATGTCTCCATTAAAATAACAAATAAACAAAGAAGTATTTTTGATCACGTGGCACAAATAAGTAACAGATGAGATCACATAACAGCCGCGTCATCTGTCATCAACAGAAGGATAAATAATCGTGTCAGCCAGACTTGTGCCAGGTTGGATGGGATTATCGGATCTATAATGTCAAATTAAAACCGCGCTCTTCCACATCTGCTACCTCCTGACTCCAGTCGCACATCACATACACAACAAAGAACCGTCAACCTGAAAATCCTCATGGCCAATAAGTGTGTGATGTAAGTAACAAAAGTGACTGATTGTTGATTGTTTGGAGAATTAAGATCTGACTGGCTGGTTAACTCCTCATCACCTCAGTGCTCTCCTAAGTCCACGGGGATGTAGCTTTCCCCGACTTCGTCTCAAGCATCAACTAAACAATCGCACACCAACAGTTTCTAAAGTCCCCAAGACTTCAAACATAACAAGTACTCCGAAATCAAATTTAAAAAAAACAGACATTTGATGTAATGTGGTAAATATCTATCGTGTACACACACCTACACACATGCACATACACACATACACACACACTCACACTGATGCCCAGTGATCTGGAAATGAAAAGGACACTAATGCGAAAAAACACTGCCCAGCCTGGAACCAAGACATAGGGAAGGGGACGGGGGGAGAAGTGGGGTCAGGATTTTAGTTTGGATCCACTGTCCAAAGCTGTAAACAGTCAGTAAGCCCTGCGACGGTTGGCAACGAGAGGGGCCGCAATCATGGTACAGCCCCAAGCAGGCAAGCACGTAACCGCGGTGACAATGGCGGGAAAAGGTGGCGACGGCCAGCCGATTTGGGCACACGTCGATACTGGCAAGAGGCTCCAGTCGAGGGTCAGTCACTCTCATCCGGATTCTGGGGGTCTATGATTTTGACGTGGGTGAATGGGAAGAGGCCTCGCCGTCCGTTCACCTCACCCTCCCACTGACCGCTTATGTTCATCCGCGTAACCTTGACGATGTCACCAACCTGAGGGGGAAAAAGGACAAGAGGCGGAGTTACAGGAGGTGTCGCAGTATATGAGTAAAAAAAAATAATAGCTTTGACTATGATGTACCGGGTTGAACTCATTTTGTTTTAAAATTCTCTAACAGATGTAAAAACTTACTGGAATCAAAATGTTAAATTAAATCATATAGTTGAAGACATTATGCTGGATGAGAAATAGTTGAGTTAAAAAGTTGAAACTGAAAAGTTAAATTTACTTCAGATACCACTGTTGCATAGCAAACATTTAAACTGAAGCAGCCTTCAGTGTTTGATTTACGAGGATCCTCATCAGACTCTATTGTTTGAGAGATTCCCCATCAATGACTACAACTGATTTATCAAACACCCTTTTTCAAAATAAGATTTTCTCCACATGCGCATTACACTGTGGTTTTAACAGATGACAAGGGACCACAGAGCGGCCGCTCAGCTGGGTTTGTGACATTGCATGTGACCCCAATCTGTCAAAGCCACGTTCTTCATCAGGATTAGAGGGGGAAAGTCGCCATCGTGATTGAAACATGTATGTTTAAGGCACTTCATTTGTAGCTTTAACTTTAAAATGAGGCTTCAAGGACATCCAGTTCTAACCATCATCTGTAACAATAATCCTTCACGCCACTCTGGAATGATAAGAATGCTGCTTAGTCATGAAAGCTGCTGTGAAAGCTGCCTGTCAAAGAATTACTTCCACTGAATCAGCCAGTTTGAAACAACTATGATGAGGAAAACTTAGATTAAAGCCACAAAAATTAAATAAAACACATGAGGGCAGAAAATATTGCCTTTAAATTTCCATAGTTGAAATGTGAAGTGCTGGATTACTGTTATTAATGCAGAATAAATCACTATCATTACAATGCAAAGGCTCAGGGTAAAAGAGTTACGGCAAAACCATTTTAAAGAATCATACGAAACTATTAAGAAAGCAGTAATGAAAGAGCAGGATAGCACAATGCAAAACAAATGAATACAAATACCAAAGAAGGACATAGCCTGATTTCATTTGTTGGGGACTGTCTGTCTCTGAAGTAAATAAATAATGACTCAGTGCTTCTGCTTCTTGAACCCCAGAGGCCCCAAAATAGCATCAGTACAAAAGGAAAAGGGTTTTACTGCATATGACGACTTTCTCTGAGGCAGACGTGGAAAAGTACGTGTTCACTGAGCAAAACTATAGAACTGCAAATCAAAAATATCACCGGAAATACTGTTTCCCCCCCCCCAAAGGTTGACTTCTATGGTTTCTGATGTCCTTTAGTTACGCCAAATAATTCAGACTTAGTGCGATTACTCATAAATAGTTCAAAAATAGTAAAAAAAACATTAACATGTAGAATGAGTACAAAAGAAGAAATGTGTGTAAGTAAGAAGTTATCCTCAGAAATCTGAAGCCAGGGATGTCACAACACCAGTAATTTGGTAGTAAGTGCCAATACCAATGACTTTTCATCATTTGTAATAGCAACCTCCATATCACAGTGTGTTCATCCATCTATACAATCAGTCAAAGTCATAACATGGACAACATGTAGAGACACCTTTGCTGATGTTGTCGTATAAACTTAACTCAACCAGGGCAACAGACGGTGAGTGCAAAGTGTATGGCGTAAATCACAGTGGACACAATCAGCCCTGACAGTTCCGTGGCTTAATTTCCATGAGACGAGAGAAACCGATCCAAAAGAAATCTCCATAACAATCTTTTACCTCTTCTACAACAAGATTAGCTGGTATACGCAGATTTTTGAACACAGGCAAACCTGATTTTTAAAAAATGATCGACTCCTTTCCAATTGCCAGAGGAGGGGGTTGCCTTTCTGACTTTTACCCCAGAGCATCATGTTCGTCATCTATACACACTGAAAACTGAGGCACTCGCTCTCTTTGGGTCTTGCCTCTGTGTGTGATAAACAATGTGCGAGTAAATTTTCCTTTAGATTGTTCCTCACTTGTTTTGTGTCTGAGACAGAACAGCACCGGTCTGAAGCAGTTGCGGGTCATGGGTTTGAACAGCCTCTCTTTGTCCACAGGATTAACAGAACTAGTTAGGTTCAGATGCACTTTTCACAACTGCAGCACGTCTGAGGTGCAATAATGTAGGTGTAGAAAATACTGTTGAATAAGAGGCAACGTGACTCATTATCTCACAGCGGCTGGATGCTCACCATCAGGGTGGACATCTTCATTTCCATTCTGCATGTTGATAGAGAACAACGTGCATGTTTGGCAGATGGCAATGTCAGACAAAGACTAGATCAACTAGGCTTGATAAAGGCATTACTGATTCAATACTAATAATAGTGAATCAGTCCAAATACACACATTGAGATCAGCTTATAACACTGAACATATTATAATCCATGTAATACAATATTTTGGATATTCTTTTGGGAATAAAAGTTGTACAGGGTGAGGAAGCTGCTTGCGTATGTTTCTATTCGCCCTCTCTGTGTCTCTCTTTGTGGAGCTGGTTAAATGAACAATTCATTATTCGTGTTAAATGTAAAGTTCCATCTCTGCTCAGTGCAGCCGTTGACAGAAGATGGGTGGTGACAGCCAGCCGGCGGTGCAGACATTTCTTATTGACCCGTTTAACTCAGTGTTCAGCAGAATCAGGTACAACACATCTCCTGTGTTAATTGTCGTCATCAGGTATCGATTTAAAAAAAGGGGGAAATAAGGAATAGAGCAGGGAAGACAGGGGTAATTTTGTTAGAGGGAGCAGGCTAACCTTTAGCAAGAATACCATTCACCAGGTTTAATCATGGTCCAAATTTACACTCTCTTTCCTGTGCAAGAGTCACAGGGACAAGTGCACTACCTCCTACAACCACTAACACACTCTCGCTGATGAACAGCAGCAGAGGTGGGGTAAGATTAGGGAAGCATACTGAAAACCTAGTATATAACACATTGGCCTGTGAAAATGAAACATCACCATGGACGTTGGGGAAAACAAGTCCAGCATCTAAACTAGCATGATTATTAGCAATGCAGGAAAACATTTAGCTGTAGTTTGTCTTTTTTGCTCGTGCTAAGCGTCGCTATTGCGGGTAAAAATAACGGCCACTCTGTTACACCTCTGTTAAACTGCAGAGACACTCACTTCATAATACACAAAAGATCCAGTGGAGTGAGGAATCTTAGCCTTTTGCTTCACCTCACTGTCCAGGGGGGCAGTCTCTATAAATGAACTATCATTAATAAATGTATCTAACAGGCTTTACATTCTGTCACCATGACTTTGAGAGTTAGGAACAAGAAACATAACAAAGTCAAGCGTGTGATATTCAATGTGTCGGTTACACAGGGTAGGTAACATGTAAGGAACAACAAGCTTGGGATCAGACTCTAATGGTCAGAGCATCTTCAAAATGTCACAACTTCATAGTTTCAGATCACTAAGAGCAGACAAACGACCTCACAGCAAAAAGACTGTTTCTATTTAGAAAACAGAAACAACCCGTAAGAATACTAGATCAATAACCAGTATTTGGCAGAGCTGTTAAAATCTAAATGATAGCCATCTGTAGCAAAGATACCTTTCACTTTCATCCCTCCCCTGAGGGCATAGCTTCAACTCGCTCTCCTATCGGAGCGGAGCCTTTGGGAGCCCCACTATAGATGTGGAGTGCACAATGAGCATTAGATCACATGCTTCAACATGTTAGTACAGTCAGGGCACATTTGTACTAGCCAGACTGCACTGCTGAGAAATGCAACAGTGCTGCTGCCTGTTTAGCAGCTAGCTGGCCAACAAGAAGACAAAGCCTGAGCCACTGTGCACTTCAGACAAACAGTCCAACTGGGTCTCACATTGCTTCTCAGAGGAAATCAAGTGACATTATGTAGACAAATCACACTGCACCACCAGCGCCTTCACCCAACCATGAACTCTTGTCGAATCAGAAGCCAGAGAATCAGTGTCTAAAAGTGTCCATGAATGCTAGCAACATCCCCACAACATCGTAGGAGGACAACTTGCAGCAAATGGACATGAATCACCTGCAGACAAGGTGGTGTTTTCACTTAAAACCCCCAAGATGTCCTAATAAACAAACAGATGAGGTACATTTGGTACAGCCAGCGAGCAGAGCTGCTGCAGTAGCATGAGCATAGTTTGCAAGAAACACCACAAGTCATGCTACGACAGTTTCAGATATAGAAACACTGATGTGGCTGTGGCAGGTCTGTGGGGAGCACTGGTGTTTCCCCCCACAAGATAGTGACTACTGCAATTTAATGGAGAATACAGTTCAACATTTTAGGAAACTGTGCAGTGTTAAAAATAATCTGTTTAACGTGTGAAATAGGCTATTTCTCATTTCACTTTTTTTGAAGTGTTCTGAGACATTTCTAGAAACTAATTAACTACATAGAGAAAATAAAGAATTGTAAAAGAATGATCTTTTCCCATTACGATACCAATGAAACAAAATTGCTTAAGGCGTCTACCAACCACAGAGCTGTCATGTGGTCACTTGAAGCCGGTTCTCTTCATAAAGGGAAATACTTCTGAATTTAGAGAAATATTCTGCGTTGTAACTTACAACCTAAAACTGAGGTGTTGAAGTGTACATTCTTGTTTGCATGGTTACGGCTGAGTCGGTCCCCATGTGTCTTTTTATAAACACTGCAACTACTCATCTTTGTCTTGAGCATTATCAAAAGATGACACCAGGCACTGTAGCTTTAAACTGAGTAGACTGCTACCAGTTAAGTCTAAGGCACTTCTGTGGTATTGAGATTTAATCCATGTTGTTGCAGTACAAATGAAAAGTACTACTGTTTATGCGACAAACAATAAGCTGGATTTATAACACGACCTGTGATCTGAAAATATTACGGATTTTTGCTCTTAGCAACGTCACCACATTTTAACCAAAAGTAAATGCGTTCAAAGCTCAACATTAATCGTGTCTGCAGAATTCAGATTGTAGCTGCCTCTATGAAGAACGAAGTATGGAGGTAGAGAGGACAGAAAGAGAACAGACAAAAAGGCACATTTTAGATCAAATCGGATGAATGAATTGAAAATTGAAATGTTTAAATACCTCCAGAGCAAGAGCTGTTTTATCGTAGGCACATGGCACTCGTCTCTGGACGGCCTTTGCCATGACAGGGCCGTTCTGCATGGACGGTAGAGGAGTGTTAACTGCTCCAGGGATACCAGGGGGCAACGGCGACGGCGTCTGGGGCTGAGCGTAAGCGTGGACAAGGGCGTGGGATGGCTCGGGGATCCCATAGCTGTTGGAGTTACGAGATCCGTGGGAAGGCTGGCCGGGGTGGGGGGAGGGTCGTGCCACTTTCTCCACGTAGGGCACGGGGATCATCCCGACACGCCCCTCTTTACTCTTGGCGCTCCACCACTGCTCCTCTGGCTTCTCCAGGATGATAAGGATCTCCCCCTTCTTGAAGGGGAGGTCCTCCGCATCGCTGCCAGTGAAGTCGTACAGAGTCCGCACATACTCTAGGTTATCATCTGGGCCGCCCATTGGCTGGATGGGACTCACTGTGCTTGGGTACCTTGGGAGATCACGACCAAGGGCACAAAGGAAGGAGAAATAATGAGGTTATCAGAAAAACACACAACACACAAATCCAGAAAAGCCATTGAATGGTGGTGAAAAGGCTCATGCTACACTTCTCCACCGACACGTGGACGTTTGCTTATGCCGTGAATACAAATGGGTGAGCAAAACGCTTGAATCAGAGCTACGTTATCATTCATCTTTAGATCTCAGCGTTAAGATATTGAAAAAGGCCACAGACAGGAAGGATGCACACTCTTGACACTGAAGATAAACACGTCATATCTGGTTTAAGCTAAGTTAACAAACACAAACGTACAAACCAGGGGCTTTTCTTTTTATTGGGACACCACAAAGAACTAATAAGAGTAAACTGGCAGAGCTTGTGTCACATTTGGCAAAGTGGGTGCACTGCAGACAGGTTACTGCAGTCTGACTGAAAGTGGGTTAGTTCTGATAGAAACAAGGCAAAGCTGAAATAGATCCGGCTTTTTTGAGTTTTGGTAATTTGTGTGCATCTCCAGCTGTGGTGTCTAGTGAAGGCGGCCCTGGGTGACTTCCCTACCTGGGTGCTGGCTCTATCAGGGTGGTCGTGTCCAGGTAGTGGATCTTGTAGAACTCCAGGAGGGCGGCGAGATGCTCGAACTCCTGGTCGCCGATCTTGAACCTCTTGCTGGGCAACGAGTTGATGATGTAGTGGGACACTTTGGAGTTCTCCGACACCGACAGCACGTAGTCGCCGGGGCAGGTCGACGAGTCCCGGACCAGGAACATGCCGTGTCTCTGTCCTTGTAACCGGTTCTGTGCCTCCTGTCGCGACACGGGGCCGAAATACCAGGCGGACCGGTCGGAGGAATCGAACCGAGCGGACATGATTGTGTTCAAAAATAATAAGTTAGTGAGAAAACTAGAGAATAAGTTAAAAACGTGTGTCGGTCGATCACCGCTGGGTGGAGGGTTTGGAGGATGCAGGGCAGGGCATGTGTCGCCCCGACAAACTGAGAGGGGTTTCCCGAGTGATTTCTGCACGAACGTCGCAGGCTCCGGAGGTTTCTTCTTCTTTTCTTTTTTAAATAAGCAGAAATTAAAAAAACAAAAAAACAACAACCTGGTATTTTCAGATGCAGGCGGGGACCGGCTGGTTCCAACTTTGGAGCATAATGTGTCTCCTGTGTTCAGCGACGAACCGAGTGGAAACCAGAGAACTTGACACACAGGACGAAGCAACAAATGATGAGCGGAGCTTCCTCTTTTCGTTCCGAGAAACAAGCAGCAGCAGCTCCGGTTCCGGTGACTCCTCCGCCTCGCTCGGTTGTCAGTACGAGGGAACAGGGGTGTGTGTGTGGGGGGGGGGGAGGCAGAGAAATCAAAAGATGGCCCCTCACTTGTTCTTCTTCTTCTTTATATCCGCATGTCGCCGGTGGGGAACGCGGCTCGGTGTTTCCTCGGTGTCACGGAATCGAACCCGCTCCTCGACTCCTCTGAGGCGGCGCGGGGAGAAAAATGGCGGCTCGCGACCAACACGTCCTCACACAGAAAAACGATCTGACGGCGGCGGCTCGTGTCCCGCGCGTGCATCTCTCCCCCCCTCCCGCGTGCGCTCACCGACAGCAGCCCGCGCGAGGGATCCCCGGGGCTTCACGAGACTTTCTCCTGGGTACGAACACTTTGACCGTGTTTTCCGCTCGTGCCCTCAGACACCAGCAGCAGCGCGAGACTACGGGACCCGGAAAATGGCGACGGGAGGGCGGGTCCCGCTTTCTGTATGACGTCACTGACAAGGAGGGGGGGGGGGGTTGGGGGGGGACACTCCACTTCCCCCCCCCCCCGTCCCACTGAGATGTCAATCATGTTTCCGTGACACAGCCACAGTGACGTCAAGATAAAACCCAGAACAGATCGATCATGAATCATGAACTTTATTTTACCTTCTTCAAATTTTATTTCATCTTTTTTAATTTAATTTAATTATCTCTCCCTTTATTTTAGAATGACTGTCACCACAACTACAACAATGTTCTTTAATAGAACACATGCCATAGACTGTACCATATGGAGTTTTTGGGGCTAATACAAATATTACTTAATATTAATAATAGTAGTTAGTAATTGTTAATATTTATATTAAATTTTTTTTGATATTTCTCGATACTACACACACATATGTTTATATATATATATATATATAAAGGAGCGTGACTCCAGTGGAACCCAGCTACAACATCTGAAGCCTCTGTCCAGAAAACATACAGCACAGAACTCTGAGGCTCCCAGAGCTTGAGGAAGACATATTCCATATATACATATATGTGTGTGTGTGTGTGTATATATATGTATGAATATATGTGTATTTGTAATTATAAAAATGGCAATTGTTGGTTGGGGAACTATACTCGCATTTCAAATGTAGATGAGCAGGTGCCATTTATCAATACCATTTTAGATGTTAGTGTTAATGGTCCTCGAGCATAATTCAGAGGTTAATTTGACTTTATAAATGAGTGATTGCAAAGCGTTTGCTCAGTCAACAACTATTTACACCAGTTAAAAGTTTTTAAATATTTCCCTATTTCCATTTCCTGTTACTCTCCAACTTCCCCCCTTCATTCAATCTCATAAAAAGTATTTTCTGGCACAGAACCGTGACACATCAATTTGGCGCTCCCAAACCTACCCAACTCTCAACACAATATGCTGAAAGGGAGAGAGTGAATTAAAATGCAGGGGGCAGTGTCTCCAAAGACCTCTTTACAAAGAGTAATGCCAGAAAAACAAAAGACAAAAGCGTTAGAAAACACTGACGGCCCAGACAGGCTGTCCAATGAGGTGGGACAACGCCTGCTCGTCGATGACAGTAGAATATATAAAGAGCTGGTTCTGCTGCTCTCGTTGTCAAAGTTTCCGATGACCCTGCCTCATGAGGCTGCAGCTGGCACAGAGCTGCTCTCATCGCTGCAACACTGTCTGAATCTTAATAGATTTGCTCCCACTGGGTTTTACTGGCCAACGCCTGCCAATTCCCACATTTTCACAAAGACACAGTGATGCAACAAATTGGGATGAAAAAGCCTAATAGGACCTTCTCCTGTGCAGATGTATTAGAAAAATACAGATATTTACAGAGTCATATTGGTTGTGCATTTTTTACAAAAGTCTATTTAACCAAGTCATTGGTTTAATCCTTTGTTTTTACCAGGTTTTGTGTTGAGTTGGTTACCTCAACGTGATGAAATCAATACATTAAGATAGATCTTTGAGAGGTCATTGTTTAACTAATAGATACATTCACTTTTGTCTTGCATAGACACACTCCATGCAGGAAAGGAAATAAATAAAAAATTCCTGTGAGGTTTTGGAAATGAGGCCAGAAGACAAGTTATGGCATAACTGTGTGTGACCTGCTGACGATTTCATCTGTTTCTTGTTTATACATAACAGTGATGTCTTAAACCATTATTTGTGTTGTCTGGGCTGGTGCAAAAATGACACACAAACTAAAATATGGAATAGAAGATAGAAGAGGTCTGTGGCCTTGTGTACATCTGGCTGAGTTCAAATTTAAGACTACCTGGACAATCCACTAGGGTTTCCTGTTCACTCCACCCCTACATTAAATGACAAAGCAGAAAAATCAGTGCCCTTAAGGAACAGGAGGACTTTTCTAAACATTTCCCCTGGCTATCACTGCTGTGTGTTATGGACTGGGCTGCTTCTTAAGAAGTGAATGTGGTAAGATTTGAATGGGGCTGGTTGCATCAGATCCTATGAACATATTCAAGGTTTATTAGAGCTGATCATTCTGGCATGCAATCCAGCACTTAAGTATTAATTTTCAAAAAAATGTTCAAGTCATATTCTGGTGTTACAAAATACAGAATCCATCACACCCACCAAGTATAAATAAATCAGTTAATGATCACCAATTGCAAGCTTTGTTTATTTGCTGAAAGTGGCATCAGTCTGGGAGGAAAACCACAGACACAAGGCTATTTTGTATTCAGACAATTTATTAGAGTTTTCTGTGTTCATTTTGCTCAGTTGAACTGCAGGTGCATGACTGGTGATACCTGCCCAGTGAGGACTTGCCACTGCTAAACACACAGTGTTGACCAGTACAAAAATGCCTGAGAAATAAGCCTATTCATTTCATGTCTCATTATTTAAACATGGAGGCTTTATACTTTGGTTGTCTGCGCTGTTTTTAATACTTTTAAGTTTGTTTTAAAAGTGACAAGTCATCAGTTCTACACTGGAATACAGTAATTCTGCAAATTTGGCAGAATTACAGCAAATGTGCGGTGAAAACCCAAATAAACCTTAACTAATATTTGACTTAGTTCAAATGAGCAGTCCTCTCTAAGGCTGATGTTGTCATTGTTTGGTGAAAATGAATAAATAAATACATAAATTATCTCCAGTACAAAGCTAGAATTGAGACATTATTTCTCCTCTTGTGTGCAGAACTAAAAGCTTTTTAGACATTTAGTTTTTCACATTACCTGTACCTTATAAGTACATTTCCTTATACATAAACTCATTGTGCAATCACTGGATCACTGGATAGGAAGGTTTGTTTTGGAGAGACTGAAAAACCCCAGTCCCGAGGATGACGTGATGCTGTGGTGGTTTTGATCTCGTCAGTGCACAGTCCTTTTAAAACGGTCTCTCTGCACAGCACGAGTTCTCCTCTGTCTTTCTGCGACGGTGGAGCTGAGGCTCTGCTTGAGGGCTGGGAGGACTACACCAGAGTGAGAGGGTTCAGACCTGGGAGAGGAAATATACTGTTTGTCAATTTATCTCAGAAGGCAGAGGTGGACATGAGCTGCATCTCGAAAAGCCCCATGTAATGGTTAGAAGTGGCACTAAGAACAGTGTTATGGAGGTTTGAGCAATATATTGTATAGAGGCAAATAAATAGAAAACCTTCTTAGTACAGTGAAATCACAAAGCATCGTAGGAGAAGACAGGTGTACATACGTTTTTTCTGGATATGTCTGAAGACTAAGTTTTGGAAATTTCTTTTCTTCAGATGATTTGCTGAAATGTTAAAGAACAGATAAATATTAGTCACAATTGTGGTATTTTTTTCAAGCTGTACTCTATGTTGGTGATGATAAAAGTGAAAAATGCTCTTTATCACTTTACCGAGTGCCGTCTACAAGGTAGGCCTTGGTCAGAATGTAGTTTTCTGGCGTGATTTTCTTGCTCAAGACAATATCTCTCAGCAGAGCCTTCACACGTATAATCTAAGTGAAACACAGTTGTCATGAAATACTGGATTCTTTATTTGCACTGGAACATTCGGTTTGATGGGTACTTACTTCCTGAGACTGTAGACTGTTAGCGCTGTAGAGCTGCCGGATGATAACCTCACACTCCTGTAGTGTGGGAGCACGCGGCGGATGAGAGGTGCTTCTGTGAATTCGAAGAGGCTGTAATGAAGTGATGAGCCCGCCCTTCACCTCTGGGCCGTAGTCTGGCCTGGTTGATCCCAGGATTTCACTGCCCTCTGCAGTGCTTCTTCCCAGTAGAGTAAGGTAATATCAATAACAACTTTAAGTAATATACAAACTGTTACGGTTGCCAAGTTGATATATATACAGCTGCGGGTCGAGACTCAAACGCATTCACTGGCCTTATTTGTATGACAAGACCTGATATATAATATGTTTGTTGTAGACCAAGCTCGGAGAGGTTTCGAACTCTGCTAAGTTGAATATATTATATTTAGCTGGATGGGAATTCACCTGAGTGCCTGGTCCTGTGATGGTCGCGTGTCCTGTAGCTGCTCCTCCAGGTAGAGTCCTGTATGAGCTTCTCTTCCCTGAGTGGGCGGTCGAACGCCTCGGCGACTATGTGTCGGTCCTGGAAGAAAGATGGTCAAGTATTGTTCAGTCCTGAGGTCTTAATGTTATTTACTTTGCTGAATTTCGCATAACAACCTGCAATTGTGATGATATACTGTGTAATATATTGTTTTTGACATGGTAGCTATCCTGTTCAGAATGTTAATAATTTCTGGCCATCTTACAAACTGATTAACAAGAGTGTTTTGTTGTAATATTGGATTTAAAGGATTAGAGGATTAGCCAAAAGAACAAATTCCCAATAGGGTTATTCTTATCTATATACTCATTCTCAATTGAATTAAACCAAAATGTGTTATGTTAAACCAAATATAAAATTACATATACAGCCAGATAGGAATCAAACTTTGCTTTAATCTATCCAAGCTCGTTAAGATGTGTTCCTTACCTTTTCTACTTGATTTGGGAGGCTCCATTATCATCTTATACTGCAACTCTGCAACATCCATAACAAGAGAAATTCAGTGTGTGATGTACTGTAAGAAACAATGTTATCACACAGTCCCAGCACACAGCTAATTTATCTGCTGGGGCTTGTCCCCTGGCTGTGCAAAGCCAGATGACTGGGAAGTCTCCTGGTGGGTTGTGAAATGAAGTTATATGGAACAGCATGAGGCCTGTTCAGTGACGTGAAACTGGATCTGTGTTCACCTCCCACTGAGAGAAACCCTCCAAACCCTGGAGTTGCTATGTGACCACCGTACCTGGATTGAATGTCTGTCATGTCAGCACCTTGTCAGTCGGACAGGTCTTTGTCATTAACTTGAATTCATTATATAACAGGTATAGACAACACAGGTTACAGGGTTCATCCCTTGAATATATGGAAAATAATGATATGGATTAATATGATTTGTTGCCCTTGTGTCAGTTGTCCATGACACTGCAATTTTTCTATGGGAACATAAACGTGTATGTCTGCCTATGTCTGAGCTCCGAGGATCTGGAACACCCTGCCTGAGGAAATACAGCAGGCTGAGTCAGTAGCTTCCTTTGAATCAAAGCTTGTAACAGACTCTTATCCTACCCCACTTTCTGATTTGACCCTTTTCTTGTTTTTATTATCGTATTCAGTGTTTTTATTATTGTGTTTATTGTTTTATTACTGAGTTTTTATTTGTTTGATGATTTTACTTGTTTTTTGTGAAACACATTTTAACCATGTTTAAGTAAATGCTAAATAAATAAGATAAAGATATATTATTATTATTAGTCTCAATCATGATTTGAGCACAAAAGCATCTTGAAAAATCTTAATTTATTTTATTTCATAACTTTAATATCATATTCTTACCGTCATGTATTTCTTTTCTCTCATCCTTCCTCCCTCATGTACCTAGTTTTTTAAAATTCCTATTCAATTAAAGTTTATCAACTGACTTGCTTATAGTATTTGTATTATGCAGTTAACCGCAATAATAAACAGATGAATTATTTATGTTCATTATCCCAAATTATTAGGTTGCATCGTCCAGTAACCTCCTATAAAGTATCCATTACATTATAAAGGCTGTAATCCCGGTTTCCTTCCCCACCACCGGTTCCTTCACCTTTATTCTCCCGTCTCAGATACTCGATCTCCGCATGCAGCCTCTCCAGAGTCTCCTTGTGTTGCCGCTGCAGGAACTGGATGTTCTTCTGCAGCGAGGCGACGCGGGGGTCCGGGTCGCTGTGACCGGGCAGCTCCGCCGCTCTCCCCGCTTCCCTCTGCGCCGACGGGACACCGGGGAGAGGCTGCAGGTGGTTGTGGTGGTGGTGGTTCGCCGCCGGTAAACGTCGCGGTTTCCCGGGACGCCCGACCCGGGTCCAGTGCGGCAGGTGGCTCACCGGTGGGAGGCTGTTACCTGACATGGCGGCGTCTGCCTCGGCTAAAGGAACATGACTTTAACCAGGTTAGCATCCACAAGCTAGCACCACAAGCTAACTGTGTTTTCTATTACAACCATGCTCCAGTGAGGACAAGCTAACGTCACCAGTATCAACCAGCTAACTAGCTAGTTAGTTAGCTAGTTAGTTAGCCAGTTAGCTGCAGCCTGTTGCTTGTAAACACCTTAATTACCCAGAATGACTCGGTTCACACGCGCTTCACTCACACACAACGTTGCCGTGACAACCAGGTGTCCTATCAGACCCAGCCGAGCTCGTGCCAAGTCCCGCCTCCTCCGTCAGGACTGACAGATCCGTCCACCAACCAAACGTGGAGGAGCGTTTAAAGGCAACCATCTGATTGGAGGATGTAGTTAGGGGCGGTACCCAGTCTCAAGAACGAAACACACTTAAAGGTCCAGTCTGTAAGATTTAGGTCAAGTTGATCTGTTGGCAGGAATGGAATATAAAATAATCCTTGTGGTGTTTTCACTAGTGTGTATTAATCATATAAATTATACAAATGTGTTTTCTTTACTCTAAAATGGGCCTTTATATTTAAATACCTTATATTTACATCAGGAGCGGGTCCTCTCTACGGAGGCCGCCATGTTTTTTACAGTAGTCCAGACTGGACGAACTAAACACCTTTTGAGTTTTTATGAAAACTGAAGCTACCACAGGTTCTCCTTCATGTTTGGAGGGGGAGGTGAGGGGGTGTTCATTTGCTACATTCAACTTCACCACTAGATGTCACTTAATTCTACGCACTGAACACTTTTTCTTTCTCACGTTCTTTTCCCTTTTCAATATCTGTATGAGTTTTCACACCGTGCAGATTTATCTCTACTCTTTTGCGGCTATTCTAAAAATTGTAAATTATCCACTATAACTGAATTTCCACAGTGTCAATAAAGTTTTATCTTATCTTCCTGGACCGTGCATCATTTTCTTGGATTGGAAAGTCTTTATGATGTCAATGAAAATATTAACCAAAATAGGATTTTGGAGTAATTACAGTACCTGTGAATTAATTGTTTCACAATCTAAAATAGAGGAAAAAACCTATTTCATGTCATTATTAAACAGGCAAACACACAAGCAGATGACACAAATCCTCGTTGGTGGAGGTAAATATAGATGGTTTATGTGAATCATTTTAAAACACTGGTATGTTCCTTTAAGTAGTCTTTATGTTAAATCCCATTACACTTGGTTTAATAGGTCAGCGGCACGATAGCGGCTTTATTTGGCTTTTCACTCGAACAATATCCCACCGATAACGGGACAACTGAGGAATCTGATTTATTCCAAGACCAAAGCGGCCATGGTGAGGTTGATGATTGAGTAAATTCAAGTGTCATACAAGGATTTCTGTAGGACAAAACAACATTTTAAGACCTGTCCTTTCACTTTATTCATGTTGCAGCTCTCAAACAGTGAAGGTTACATCACACAAGGACGCTGAGATTGTGTCTGACACCATTAAACTGCTCTTGTGACAATTCGGAAGAAGGAGGCGTTTTCTCTTTGGAAATGTGCAGGTGCTATGGTTCTGCTCTCTCTATGCCTGCAGCGTCATTTATACTGTATATATTTATATATATACACAATAACAACAATAACTTAATTTACAATATGTACAGGTAATACAGAAAAAGAGAAATCAAAACATGAAAATGCAAACATTCAGGTATGTTCTTCGCAAACACAGAGAGAGAATGACAGATTATCGTGGGAGTGCACAGAGCAAAGGCTTAATCTTCATGATGGTAACATTTAATTTCACTTTGAACAGCAACTCAAGAGCTGGTCGGGAGTCAGGTACTTGCTCAAGGACTCTTCAGCAGAGAGGAAAAGTTCTTGTCCTACAACCTGTTCTCCACCATTGTATAATTCAGCTGCAGCACATATCCTTATGGTGCTTTCGACCCCTCGTCATCATTAGGATGGCTGATAGCAACGATTGTAGGGAACAATTAAAAGTGACACATGCATCAGGTTTTAGAAAAGAGGCCACCACTCTCTGCTACCATCTCAAGACACTGTCACAGCATCCTGACTGAACAGAACAGCACGTGTGGAGTCTGTGGATGAGCTGATATACACTCATGAATGTTCACTCACAGAAACGATAAATACACACAGAGGATGCTCTTGGGAGAGTCGCGTCAAAGAAAACATCAGACAAAAGATCTCTGACAAAACACAAAAGGCCACAAATGAAATACACGTCATGTCTATCTAAAGAAATCTTCACTAAGAAAACAAACTTTCCTCTGTTTTCTTCTGCTGCTACACTGGCTTCCCCATCTCTTCTTCAGTCCTCACCGCACAAATGATCAAATATTAACTTATTCCCCCTCTTAGTTAACTCACAACAGACAACAGGACAAAGCACCTCAATGAAAAGAATGTCGTCCTGGAACACATGAGGAACCCTCGATTTGTCATTGGATTCTGATTCGTATGTAAAAAAAAGTGGGATCAAAATCCACCACCCAAGTCAGATGTAGTCAAAATCACATCATTCACATCTTGTTGGAGTGATGTCACTGGTTCTTCATTGAAATCCCACTTAAATACCTCAAACGCCTTCACTTCACTTCACTCATGCACACATGCACATGGAAACGTCTCCTCGAAAGCAACTCAAGTAGAAGTTGACCTTTCCTATTGGCCCACAATTAAGGGAAGTTAGGGGGATATATGAAGGTCAGAATCAGCAGTGCAAAAATAAAACTAGCACTCCGAATAAACTTTTTAGAAAACCAAACACAATCACCACCCACTAGCTACTCTCAAATAAAACACAGCACTATTGATGTAAATCTTTTTTTTTTTTTTTTTCAGTGTAAAGCAAAATTTTTTCTTTCATATATCCTGAAGAGATCTTCCTAAGGTTTCATAGCTTATACCAACTCTTTGTCAACATTCACACATCTAACACACATCCCCTTCGGACAGTAACGCTCAACTAAAACTGCACTAAAAGTATGGGAGTAGAAATCTCTACATGAGCAAAATCTGTCCAGAAACGTCCACAAACTATTTATCATGTTCCAAGATACAGTACTTTAACAGTGCAAAAACATTTAGACCCCGGATCAGTTGAAAATGATGGGTATCGGGATAATATTTACTTTGTCACTCTCCTGTCAGCGCTTCATTCAAAGTTGATTATACTTGCACAACTCGAAAACATTAAAAAAAAAAAAAAATACAGAATCTCGTGAAGAGAAACCTCCAGTTATGTTAATATGATTGTGATCGGTGATGCTAACAGACCAGTTTCAGTCCCTCTTGAATAAAAGCTATAACGTGCGCGCTGCAGTATTTTCTGGGCCCATTTTCTACCTGCAGCTATATATTCCTAATTGTTTCATTCTGGTTTTTAGCGAGTATAGAATCAATAAAGTGTCAAGACAAGTATTTTTTTCCTCCAAACCAGCTTAGTAAATCTAAAATAAAACATAAAGCAAAAACAAAACTACATTATGAATTTTTGGCAACTGTTTTGTAATAGTACCTGTACGCGCTTCCTTTACATCCCTTCAACTAGTAACTAAATCAAAACAGGAAAGAATAAACTGAGCAAAGCAAACAGAGGAACAAATGTGTGATGAGCATGATTCTGAACGTCCACATGTAGGTGAACAGCAGAAAACTGGCTTCTCCCTCCTGCTACTGATCTTTGTCAAACATCTCATCCGCAGATTTGCTTATTGCAAATTTGAAGCATGTAGCCTATACTTACGTCTTACAGCGCTATGTGTTTATATTTAGTTAAGAGCTGTACGTGGATACTTGGCAATAATTGCTCCTAGATGTGTTTACGCCGAGTGCGAGGAATCACAAAATACCATTCTGAGTGCCATGAGCACAGTCCTCTCACATAGACGCAGACATTCATTTACAGCACAAGTGCTTCATGTCCAGCACTGAGCCAGGTTTAGTGTTGGGGTAAGTCACTGCTGCTCTCCAAACAGAAAAAGCCTTGTAAAGAGCTGGAGGCTTTGGTGAAAAAATAAATTTTGTGGAGACTGAAGTGTTTGGAACTGAGATCCATGTAATGTGGGTGGACATTTAGTTCGCTGGTGATGTGCACCGTGCAGAAGAAGAGTCCGACTCTCAAACACAGAGTCCTGACTGCAAAGCGGTGAGGCGGCGTTCAATGCACTCCTTACCTGCAGATCCAAAGAGAAAGGGAAAATGTCAGTGAGCGGTGCAACATAAGTCACGTCCATAAAGACAACCAGGTTAGTTGTGTTTTGTGAAAGCTGCATTAGCTCTGTGTCACCTGCTCTGACTGAAATATCCACTTTAACATCAGCTCTTATGAAATGAAATAGTTTTTAATACATCATCATAGAAAACGGTGCAGTGATGAATATTTGATGGAAGGTGCCCGGAGCTGAGTGGACATGCCCCTGCTTTGTGTAAGATGAGTCGACAGACACACTTACATTTGCTAACACTGAGGATGTCGTCCCGTTCAGTGAGCAGCAGAGACAAGCCCTCCATCAGCAGCAGAGCTTTGTGGTAGCGCAGGACCGATGCTTCCCCCTGGTGGAACATCTCGTCCAGCGCAGCAGCCTGAACCTGGGACGACAACAGCAGCTTGACTTTAGCCTTGATCAGAATATCATTATAATGTGAATCACCTCAGTTGTTGCTGTGTGTGTGGGGTACGGTTTCTTGAGTAAATATACAAAACAAACATATATATAGGACTTTTAACAATTTATATAGTGGTCTACTTTGCATTTAATTACTTTACAGCCATCATATGATCCTTGAGCAATAATTGGAGAGCACATTCAAGTTGTAACTAGCACTGAGTATTAACTGGATGCTCATAGATACAGCGTCTGAATGACTCCTACTAAGTTTTTCGGAGCTTTACCATCTGCACAGTGTGGCTGAACAGCAGCCGCTCTGCTGTGATGGAGGTGATTTGGTCCATTAGACGGTGCTTCCTGGAAAAAAAGTGCTCCAGACGAGTGCTGAGCGTGCGACAGCACGCCACGCTAGACTTGTACAGCTCGTTCAGCCTCCTCACGACTGTGTGAGGACAGAAAATGAAAACAAATGAATCCAGGGGGCTATGGAGACATTCACTGTGTAACATCTCTTTCTTATATGAGGGGTCATACCTTGTTTGACTGTAGCGGATGGGTAGAGTTTGCCCTGTTTCACTCGCTCCATGGCTGTGTGTAAGGCAGTGGACAAGAGCTCTGCAGTCTTAAGGTAGAGAACCAGCTGTTCTGCATGACTGCGGACACAGACACACACACACAGACACACAGACACACACACACACAGACAGACACACACACACACACACNACACACACACACACACACACACACACACACACACACACACACACACACACACACACACAAAACACATATTTTAAAATGTAAGATGCAGAACACAATCTCTGCCACCACCTGTCTTTAGCAGCAGATTCGAGACCACTGATCTAAATCTTCCTCTTTCTCTACACTCAAACTCTTCAGTCCACTACTCAGCAGAACAGGAAAGTCTCAGCTGACTGCATTCAGTCACTGTGCTTCTGTTTGCTCTGGTGCAACTCTGCATTCAAAATAAAACATTTCGAGTAGACTCAAGTATCTCTCCCTTCAAAGGGAATTAACAGTATCACTGCCATCTACACAAAGATTCTTGAAGTGGCCTTACCTCCACTCTCGGCTCAGCGAGCTTATCTGATCTGCTACCAGGCTCTGCTGCTGAACGAGGCAGGCATGAGCAACCTCCAGCTGCTCCCCCACCACCGCGACACCACGGGCCCCAGCCACCTCCATCAGGCAACGGGCAAAGTCAAGGGTGAAACGCAGGCTTTGCACCGTGTCCGTGTGCTCCTGCTGCGCTCCGACAGAGGCAGGAAGAACGGCAGACGGAGAGAGAAGGAGAGAGAGACAATTTCATGGTAGAATTAGAAACAGAGGGGAACAGAAGGGGATTATGTAATTCAGTCTGAATGCAAGTTTTAAACAGGATGCAGGCATTTTGACTTGAGCTAAAGGCACCTGAACTACCCCATGCTGTCTATTTTTCTATTTGTCTCCACCCTCATTGGGGGAAAGCTGAACAACCCCCCAGATTGGTGTAAACAATCATTACTTCACACATATTTAGAATTCACTGAGCCAAAGTGATGACTCTCCAGAGCTGTGAGGGGAAACCTGCTCCTCACCTCCATCAGCGTCTCCTCAGGCAGCTCCGGCGCCTCAAAGGTTACCGGGCCTCCCATGTTGGCTGTGATAGGATCAGTGAAACTGTAGCGAGGACTGGGCGGAGCCTCGAAGCCGTCCAGATAGGTGCCTGTCTGAGGATACCGGCTGGTGAAGGAGCCTGCGGGGCTGACTGATATGAATGAGCCTGCAGGAGTCAGAAAAAGAGAAGGTAGACATAAAATCATTTAACATCAAATGCCATTCATTTTCATTGCTCTTGAATAAACAGGAAAATCAGCATGTAGACTACAGCTAGGCTGCCTGTTATTTCTCAAATGAGTAACTGCATTAAAATGAATGATTAAGCCACTAAGTTAATTTTTATTTTCATAAATACTCTAAGTGACAATTACCAATTGGAAAATTGTGTGTTCGGAAAAGCAGTAATTTAGGTTATTACTCCCTGAGTGGAACTAAATCCCTCCACAGCTTGGCCTCATTTAAATCTTGGGTCAGCTGAAAATCAACCTTGAATGCTTTTCACAATCACTTTGAATTAAGTTTTCACATCGTTGAAATTGAAAACAGCAGCTTCCCATTGCTCCGTGTTGTACGACATGCGGAGCATAATATTAACGTTGCTGCAGATGTGGGGTTTGATTCCCACTTGCTGCAGAGGCAACATTAAAACAAATCATTTGTGTGCATGTGCTACCTGAGTGTTTCCTCTGTCTGGAGGTTTGAGGTGGGGTGCTGCCGCTGGGAGGAGAGCCCACAGTGAAGACCACCTGTGCAGGGCTAATGGATCCAGGTGTAAGGCCTACCCCACCACCTGGGGGCACTAGAGGACAGTTAAGAGGAATGACTAAAAGGTAAAGGTAACATATCATTGATTATCTGAGAGCAATAGTTTATAGAAAAATCTCATACCACACAAAACCTGGTAAATCAACTCACCTGTTATTTCTATGGCTTTTTCAGAGGTCAGGTTCTCTGCGCTGCCTTGTTCACACACAGGTCCGCCTGGTCCAAACGCAGCCATCAGCAGCATGTCAGACAGACGACCAGCACTCTGAGACCTGCACCGAACAGATGGGGGGGCAACGGAGAATATAGGGAGAAATAAACAAAAAAATTAGACAAACATCCTTGTTAAATATGATTTTTAACTATTTAGCGTTTAAGGTTTTCTAATACCTGCCTTTAAATAAAAACGATCTGCAGGTTCTAATCTCACAGATATTACATATTAGATTAGAAAAAGAAAACAATTCAAACCAGCAGTGTATGGTTGAAGAAAGATGATATATATTTCCAGCTCCAAATTGTCATTCTACAAGCTCTCCTACATCTCTTGTATCTGCAGGTGAACAAAAGCAACAACAACAATCTAACCTCCCAAAGGTCCTGGTGTCATCGTTCAGTCTGTGGATGACCGGAGCTTGTTGTCCTGGGTCTCTGGGCTCTGACGGGGCAGTCCTGCTGCACGGAGAGCCGATGACCAAACCCTGCTGTGTGAGGAAGGTCACAAGGTTCGGGGAGCTGGGAGGCTTGGGGAATTCAAATGGAGGGAGGACCTGAGGAGAGAAAGTTGAAATATACCAGAGGTTAGATTCAGCTGCTTCGTGTGCTTTTCTTGTGTTGTGCATCTCGACAGAGCTGACTGACCCTCGAGGGGGAGCCGAGGATGGTGGGAAGAGGGCTGCGCTGCATCAGCTCACTCAGTCTGGGGGACGAGTGTAAGGTGCGGAGAGTCATCAGGCCCGACGAGGGGGCGACCACTGGGTCAGAGTGCTGCTTCCTGATCTTCTGCCTGGCGCCACCACTGACGCACTCGGAAAGACAGGGGGCACTGTGGAGCCGTGTACCAAGTCCGGTCCTCTGCGCGTGCTGCTGATAAGTTGGCCGGTGCTCCGCGTGCTGAGGAGCTAATACGGGAAGTGGGACAGAAGGAGGTCAGGATATATACCTATATATATTTATTCTGTCTTTTAGTTCGCAGGTGGTTTTGCAAATTCTTTTTTATGTCAGACCAGCCAAGATAACACAAAATCTACAAAGAGATGGCAGAGACAGAAAAGTCCTGTCTCACTCTCCCACTGTCCTGCTGGCATGCATGTCCCACAGCTGAGGAACTGTGCCAGTGTGGAGCACAGAGCAGACGACAGGGTGTCTGTGTGTGTGGGTGGTTCATTTTCTCAACCAATTACTTTGAAAACTACAAACCAAAATCTTTTAATTCCTCCTTTTATCCAACAAACACTTCTGAACCTGAATATATCTGATTTAAATTGATTTATAATCAGACTCGAGGAGCTTAAAGGATTAATCGATGCAATTGTTCATCAAGAACTCCAGTGGGTTCCCAACTTGCTCATCAGGACACCCAGAGATGTCTCCTAATAAATCTGCAGGGTCAAAAGCTGATTAAAGAGCCATAGAAGAAATACAAGTTGTTAAAAGACCTTTTTTCTGAATTTAATGCTTTTATCTTTTTTTGTGAGAGACAGAATTCTTCAAATTAAAGTCTCCAGGATTGAAAACATCCCCCTGCTGAATTACACACCAGAAATCCACAACCTGTATTAAGTGGTCACAAGTAGACACAGGGGATTGGGTATTGCTGAACTAATCAATTGGTGGACTAATTGATTCCGCACCGCTCCATTACAATAGAACCAACAGACCAAACGCTCACTGCAACTCTCTGCAAGTTTTTATTCAATGTGCAGGCCCAGATAAAGTTTGAGGGAAACTGTGACCTGCATCTGTGAGTGTGATTTTAAAAGTGAAAACTACCCTCTGAGCTACCTTGAGGCGAGAGCTGGAAAGTTCTACCACCTCCCAGAGAGAGTCTGCGGCTGGCGGTAACCGGCGCCTGCACGTATGGTGGCGAAGGTCCGGTCCGAGCGAAGCCCAACGAGCTTCCACTGCTGCAGCGCCGCACTGGTGTCGACAACCTGAGGACGTCCAGTTCATCAACATTCATTCAGTTCATCTGCATTTTGCAATAGAGCAACACGTGTGTGTGTGTGTGTTTGTGTGTGTGGATACAGACCGTGGTGAGCCATCCTGTTTAGTCGAATGGAGATTCTGCTCCATGCGCTGGTAGTTCTGGACCTGAGTGGGGACTGGGATAGGCGGTGATTGACTGTGGTTTCCATAGTTACTTCCCAAGAACTCGCTGGGCCTGCCAGCAAAAGTGAGAGGGACAGAGTGTGCCAAGGGAAACTGTCAGACAAGAGAGGACACAGTGTGTGTGTGTGTGTGTGTGTGTGTGTGTGTGTGTGTGTGTGTGTCTTTATTGTATTCTTTTCTGATCCTAAAAATTCTGCTGAAATTTTCAAAATAATAAAATAATACACAAATACATAGCATATTAATATCACTTCGTTTACATTTAACATCTTTTTGATAATGATCAATATTTATATTTTATATTTTCTTCAGTATAATAGTGTTATTCAACTTTGGTCGACTCATTAGCATAAACTTAATGAATTCGGAGGGTGTCAGGGAATGTCATGTTCTGTCGTGGTCTAGTTTCTCAACCTGCATGACCAGAAATGTAAACTTTCAGGTATGTGTTACCTGACAGGACTTGGAGAGCCGCTGTAGGAGGGCGAGCGTGGTGGTGTTTTGACTTGACTACACAGACCAGCAGAGGCAAGAAGAGAGCTGATTACAAAGTGGAAGACAAACAGGAGACACACCGTGACACAGTCATTAAGGTGCATCGTTCCCACTTTTAATCGAAATCTAATGAATGATGTAATACAGGTGATGTCCGATCGTACTCACCCACTGTTCATCAGGCTGTCCTGCAGCACTTTACTCTCACATGTCAGCTCACCTGCTGGAAAACCACAACAAAAATTCAAAGAGGAATCAAATGTATTATTTTCTTCGTATTTCAAACTCAATGAAATGAATAAGATACATTCCATTGAACATTTAACTGAACTTTGCACGGTGCGTCATGGTACAAAAATCAGGCCCTATGTTTTCAATGACTAGTAATTGCAAACAGAGACAAACAGTGAGACTCCGTCGGGCCTCAGTGATGCACCGAGCTGTGTGGAATCAGTGCTCGTTGCATGAATGCACAAGATTCTCTTTGTTTGTTGTTCACATTGTAGAGAATGTAATTAATATTTTACACATTAATATTTTATAATTTCTATTTCACCCACCAGAACCCTATTCATCAGAAATGTGACGATCCAGCCCACCTGTGGGTAAAACAGCAATCTACGCATCACTACTAAAAGAAAAGAGCTTATGAAACGCTGTAAATGCCACATGAAGCCAGTCTGTACAAGAATATATAGACTCGAACTTCAAATACTTAGATGGAGCTGGAGCAAACGTTGGGACTGTGCACAGCTGTGTTTGACATTTAGGAAGAGATTTCATGAAAGCAGTTTTCTTACTGGTGAAGTGAGCCGGCACCATGACAAAGTCATCCGTGTCACAGGAGGAGGAGTTCTTGCTGCTGCCGCCCCCCCCTGAGGAGTCCTTGAGGAGAAAACCAGTGGCCTCCTGGGTAGGGGAGGCCAGAGCTTTCGCACGCAAATGCTGAACTTCAGCAAGAGACTGCTGCAGGGACGGAGAGATTGAAAAAAGCAGAGAAACAAAGAAGCACAGAGTGAGAGGAGGACAAACAGGCAGTGACTGCACATAAAGAACACAGCTTATAAATACTCAGGTACAGACAGAGAGACGACAGAGAAGCAGGGAAACAATAATAAACACAAACCGGCGGCGAAGCGAGATGAGAGGTGGAGGAGCTGCTACAAGAGCTGGCTGATGCAGAGCTCGGGAAACAGGTCATGGTCACAGTCGGAGTTGCTGTGACAAAAGAATGCACACAACATATTTGTTAGAAAACTCAAGGATACGAAGGTGAGAGAAACTGAACCTAAGCAGAAACTTTGCTTCCAGGTCACGAACCATGACGTGTGTATGTGTTGCTCACAGAAATATACTCAGGTTCATCACTGCATGGGTGTATGATGGAATATGATGGCAGTAGTGTATCAAGAGGATGAAACATTTAATCTTGACATAATGTCAAGATTTTTTATTTTTGGTTACAAAAAAATTTATTTTGAAAAAAAATGTTTTACTGTTTGCTAACATATAGTTTCGGACAATGTGTCATGTTTGTTGACTGGTGTTTTATATAATTACGCTGGATGAGAGTGAGAGACAGGTTCATACATGACGTGTGCAAAAATATAAACAATCCTTTATGTGAATCCTCAACCAGGTTGTGTTGGGAATCACAATATTTATTCTTACTCACTCTTTTTTATTGACGAGCTCGCCTCCAGGAAAGGATGAGAGAAAAACTCATCTACAACACAAGAGGAAATGTGATAAACAGAAGCTTGTGGGAAGCAGAGTCATTTCTGAGACACAGAATTTATGCAACCATGAGCACAAGATGCACATGTACAAGGATTTCTTGTGCAGACAGAACGCAGACACACACATGCACAGTGTTCTTCTCTGTGGAGGATATTTGATAATCTAACACTTCTGCACTGAATGGAAACATCACAGGAATATTTCTCACATCTGTTGCCCGGGTAATACAACAGGAACACCATCTACAAATAAATATGCCAACCCATTTATGGCAGAACGTACTATATTCTACATCAGCAGCACACGGTGTTATTCATTTTTACTGTAACACCTCTCATTGTAATGTTCACTCACCAAAGTCCATGCGGTCCTTGTGGTTGCGCTGCAGCAGACCCAGCAGCAGCTGCCTCAGATGACTTGAAGTCTCTCTGGGGATGCTGTGAAAAAATAACACCAGAATTATTGTTTGCTGCTGAGCAGAAGAAAAGAGGATCTCGGGAAAATCTCTAAAGGTCACAAAATACGACAGAAACCCATTATTATAGATAAGGAAACACGTTTAGCCGCACTGAATTTAATCATTTACTAATATGTATTCACACAGTTTTCGACAGTAAATAAAGTAAAATAATGACTCTTTCCATCTATTTGTGTGGCTGTCAACATTCCTCAGCTCAGGACTCTGACAGGCTTTCATTCAGCATCTGTGATCAAATGAATCTTAAACCTTTGCAGAGCCTGTGCTTTAGAAAGAGGGGGTTGTGGGTGATTTGTTGGCGGCTCATCATCTCCGACAACTTTGTAAAGTAACTGCTGTTCAGCTGTTGGAACAGCCCAGCTGGTGCGTCCTTCACTGGCAGCATCTCTCTAGAAGGTGAGATTTGCCAACCGCACGTCGGGTGTTAGCTTTAAAAATCAGATTTTTATAGTATTATAGTGACGCAAACACATTCTCAAAGATACTGGTTTTGGCTAGAAGTCCACTTTCCATTGTTTAATTCACTCTCAAGACGCATCATAGGAAATGTACGAATTTCTCAATCGAGCAAAAACACAAAACAAGGTTTAGTTCAGTGTTTTCAGGACGTCTTCAAAAATACAATCAAGTTGTCATGTCAGGGTAACTCCTTACTTTGGGCTGAGATTCTTGTTCTTTTCATAAAACAGCCGGAGGTCCTGAGGACTGCTGGCCTACACATGACGGAGGATAGAGAGATGTTTATCATAAAAATGCAAATACTGATGAGCTTTAGTTACGTCACACTTTCTGAGTGCTTCAGAAAATAATTCAATTAAAAGTTCAAACACAGATTAAAGTTTATTGGGAGGAGGGGGAGAGCAGCAAAGATCTGATTGTCAGCCTGTGAATGTACAGACATAGCAGCAGCAGTGTGTCATCCTATAGTCACATGATCTATCATCACTGCGTCGCCCTCGCACAGATTCTGAAAAATGCCTGTTAATGAGGCAGAGAAACAAAGCTCCACAGTCAGCAAGCTTCTGAATTGCTGCTGAGCTGGTTTACATAAGTTCAGATGAGATAAGTTTCCAAGAAGTTTCATCTTTCATCTTGTTCAGCGTTGGACAAGTCACCGGGGACAAACTGCCTGGTTTTCAGGTTCCTGCTCGTCTCTCACATGATCTGAAGAGAGGAGGCAGCCCGTGTGTTTACTTTCAACAAACAGACTGAGGTGACGTCTCTCGACAGCGTTAAAGGAAAAGTCAGGGGGGTTTTGCACACACCATTATTTTTCAACAGCACAAACTGAAGATAATCTGCGATAATGCCCAGAAACAAAACAGCACACAACCAATGCAACTGATGTGTTTACCTGAAAAGGAGCCTTTCCTGTCAGGCACTGAAACACTATGGTCCCTATGCTCCACAGGTCCGCCTTGGCATCATAGTTTTGGGACATAATGACCTCAGGAGCCTGGTGAGGTAAAAACATGAACATTTAATGAGATGATGGAGTTTTCATAACTACCGCTGGAGGGGATGCTGCATTACTTTCTGTTGTGCTGGACTGTTTTAGAGATTACCACTGTGAAATTAAAAGAAATAGAACTCTGCTGTTAAATACTAAGAATACTGACAGAAGCTCTAAAAATAAAAATCCCAGAAATGACAAGACATCCTTTATTTTTGAAGTAAAAGTAAAGAAGCCTTCCCAGCTCATAATGGACCCTCTTAACCTTTGCTATCAATAAACACACAGAGGCCATTAAATCTGAATTTGCTCTGGTTTATCATCCAACTGAAACTTTTCACAATGATGACTTTGACTATTTTTCCTGAATATATATAAAAACAACATGTGTTTACCATGTACATGGGAGAGCCACAGAGTGTTGCCGCCATCATGTTATTCTGAAGGTACCGGGCGAAGCCGAAGTCCGCTGCAGAGAGACGCAGTGAGGGAGGGGTGGGAGGAAGTGGAGGATAAAGAACAAGAAGAGGCCAAAGATGGATGAGTTAACATTTGGTGCAAGAAGCAAATGCAGCTGAATCTTCTTAAAGACAAGGCTCTGATCCCGAGGACGACAACAAAATGATTAAATAAGAGAAACAAATTGAAAAGACCGCTCTAAAGAAAAACTGCAGATGGCTGCTAAAGTCATTTGTTTTTAAAACTCCTTAAATCCAATCAAACGTCAAGATCCATGAATTATTTGTGAAAATATATAAATACATATATAACAAAACATTCTGGATCCTCCCCTTTGTCTGGATCTGCACCAGAATGTAATGGAGACTTTCTTGACCCGCGTGCAATCCTTCCATCAAGTTTCATGTTAATCTGTTCAGTTGCTTTTATATAATCCCACTGAACAAACAAACAGGGGTAAAACCCTCCTGTGGAGGCAAAAACAGAAAAGACCTTTCCAAAGAAAAACTGCAGATGGCTACGAATTAGAAAAAAGCTCATGATAGTGCTCGGTCGTTTTTGTCTTCTACAGGATCCCAGCTGAAAGCACTGTTTGTTCATAAAACCAATAAAATTACTTATTATTCCAGCAGAAAAGCCTGAGATGAATATTATCTTCATATCTTCTTATTTTATTGTGTGATTACTGGTGACGATGAAGCATTAGCACTCTGGACCCACTTGAGTCTTATGGCTTAGTAAAGTACCCGCAGCTCTTTAGTAGAGCTCCACTGCTGTGTAGCTCCGTTTTTATAGGAATCATAATCACACTCCGAAAATATATAAATATATATTCAAAGACAAATATTATCTAACGTACTTAAGCACCAGCATGCTGCCTATTTAAAAAGTCAACAAATCTATTTTAGTAATCCCCTGCTTCACCGTTGATGTGCATGTGTTCATATGTCTACACCTGCATATGTGTAAGTATAATGTGTGTCTGTGTGTGTGTTTTTCCTGCAGTCGTGATGATTATAACACTGTGTTGTGACTGAGCCTGACACCAGCCTCAGACTTCAGTCCTGCTGAGCCACCGACTCTCTCCAGAGGAAAAAAAGAATTAACAGGCTTAAAGATTAGCTGAGTTCCCAAACAGCAGAGCAACACACACACACACACACA